TGTAAAAAAAAAAAAAAAAATCAATAAAATATATAAAATATATATATTACTAGTGACCTGGTGCATGAAATTCATACATATTAAAAGAGTTTAGAGGAAATGCTTTAATATTGCAATTTGTCCTTTCTCTATAATAAAAGTGTCAGAGATGAAAGAAAATTAGTAAAATGTATATGAAAATCTTCCCTGTCAGCATTTGGACACACCACGAGAACCAGAATCAAGTCCCTGCCCACTCACATGTGCCTCAAAATTGCACAAGACCCAGATCCAGCTGGCCCCATCCCCACTGGGCTAAATCCAGACCTAGGCTGCCCCACCTCCGTCAAGCCCCGCTGGGGGAGGGGAGGAGGAGGAGGAGTGACCTCAGGTTGACTGCCTGACACTGGGGTGGGGTGCATGGACTAAGGTCCCCCATCAAGCCTCACATGGCAAGGGTGTGGCCTCAGGTTCCCCAACCTGGCACTGGGGGAGGAGGCTTGGCCTCAGGTCCTCTGGTCCAGTGCCTGGACAGGGGTGTGGCCTGAAGTCCCCCATCAAGTCTTGCTAGGCGGGGGTGCACCTTGAATTGGTCCCCCATCAAGTCCGGCTGGTTGGGGGCATGGCCTTAGGTGCTAGGGTGGGGGTGTGGCCTGAGGTCCCTCATCAAGCTCCACTGGGCAGTGGGCACAGCCTGATGTCCCCCAGGCTGGCGCTGGGGCCAGAGGCATGGCTTGAGGTCCCTCATCAAGCCCCACCAGGTAGGGGGCACAGTTTCAGGTCCCCTACCCTGGCCCACACAGCCTCAGGTCCCTGCTGAATGCTCAGTTAATGCTAGTTACAGGAACTTGGCCTCTGTTGTGGGCACAGCCATCTTGTTATGCTATGATGGTCAATTTTCATTTTCCCTCTTTATTAGATATAATTGATTTCAGAGAGGCAGAGAGGGGAGCTAGAAACATCCTTTATAGTAAAAGGCTAATATGCAAATTGTCCCCTCAGGAGTTCAACCGACCAAGAGTTCAATCACTCACTATGACATGTGCTGACCACCAGGGGGCAGCACGGAACAAAGGAAGGCACCAGATAGCAGCTGAAAGGCCCTGAACAGCTCTGATCGCCGGCCAGGCCTAGGGACCCTACCAATGCACGAATTTCATGCACTGGGCTTCTAGTTAATGATAAGAGAGGATCACTGATGGGCTGCCTTCTGAATGACCATAATGGGGATCGAGCCCACAACCCAGGCATGTGCCCTGAACAGGAAGCTTCTTAGGCTTACACTGGGGATCTAGCCTGTAATCAAGCTATGTGCCCTGACTGGAATCAAACAGCGACCTTTTGGTGTATGCAACTTCTTGGAGTATGCAATCTCAGTGTATGGGAAGATGCTCTACCAACTGAGTCACACTGGTTAGGAAGATCCCTAATTTAAATTCTTTAAGAGAGAGGTACTTGTTTTTGGTGAGCCTACAGGGTATTGATTGCCTTTAGCTCAAAATAACTCATATGCCAAAGTGGCAAAACGGGGCAGCCTGTTCTAAATACCTTCTCTAAAAGGTCTTGAGAAATCTCACTTTCCAGAAGTTTTAGTACACTATTGATATTAAAGCTTAATTTTTTAAAAAGTTCTAATAAATTCATTCAATCTTATCCAGCTTGATTACATATAAAATTTCCTCTCTCAAGATTCCTTTTCATAAACTTTCTACAATTTTCTGTGTCTTTTTTAATTGGTCTTTTGTTCTCTTACCCAATTCAGAAATAATCAGGATAAAAATCACTTTATTTCCCTAATGAAATACATCTCCAAATATATCATACTTTTTCCCCCAAGCTGAAATATATTTATTTTTTTGGGTGTATGTAGCTGTTTTTCCTTTTATCATTGATTTTTTATAGCTTTAATTACATATATTAAAATTAATAACTTCTTTTTTTTACTACCAAGACATCAAACAAGTTAATTTCAAATGTAACAGCATTGTTAAAATCAATAGATTTAATTCTTAACGGCACCAAGTAAACTTAGTTATTTAAGTATTTTTAAATTATTCCCTCCAAAAAACTGAGGGAGCTGTTCTTTTTCACCCCACATAACATATAGTTCTGTTTTTGGAGGACTTTCAATAAATTAGTAAACTGCTTTGAGGATATTTTAGAAATTCTTTCCCCAAATAAAAATGAATCTGGACAAATTATATATTACATTGATTTCTCTGCAGATTCTTTTCCATATGCAACTTCCATATGATGTAATTTCATCCCACAGTAAAAAACTATCTGTATTGAAAAATATGATGGAATCATATTCTGCAATCATCAAGTTAGTAAAATTGTTTTAGCTTAATGATAATTTTTAAATCATATTTCAAAATAACCAACTCAACATGGGACATTATTTCAGTCTTAACTGACTCATATGAATATGAACTAGTACCCAGCTCTTCCATAACTTCCTCTTCCATAAGTGGATAGAATTATTTAATACAAGTTTGATGTAGGACAATGAATTCTTTACAAAAAATTACAATTTAGGTTAAAGTCATTGATTAGTGTGGAAGAAGAAACACTATAATGATAGGGAGCCTACACCTCAATTCAAAATTTAATATTTTTTTCTTCCTTCAATATCATGTACTTAATTGTCATAAGGCAGCTATTTGGTTTTTAATAATCACATTTAGGAACACATTGATAGGACTGATTAAAAAGTCCAGGTAAAATGTTTATAGAAGTAGAGGCAGTGTTATCTCAGAAAACTCATTTATATATCAAAATTTATTTGATATCTGGAAGTTTACAAAAATGCTGAATTCTTTAAGAGTAATAATGTGTTCTATAACTCAAGAAGTCTTCTCTTGGCAAGAGGAAGTTAAAGCTTATCCATGCAGGTAAAGGTGCTTAATGTTGAACTTTTCTTCTAAGCTTAGATTTAGACTGAATATACCCAAGAAATCAACATCGTCTTTCTACATTAGAACCCTATAAAGTTATTCATCAACTATCTTCCTTTTCTGTATTATTCTTGGCGTTCAATTTAGACTATTTTAATTGAAAGTCTATTGTACTTTAACATACAATTCTTAACCTTTAAAAACCTTAATTTCTAGTGAAAACTAAGAAGTAAGCAACTGTGAACTGTCTGTTACATATTATTTTAGATTGACAAATTTCTGAAAACATTTCATAATTTCTAAAATTACTGCCATAATATGATAATGCATGATAATGTAAAACTGTAAAAATTGCATCCAAACTGCTTCTGGCATATGGAATAAATTAAATTTATCTACTTTGATGGCAGAAGCTTTTTATTATTAGTTTTTTTTTTGTGGAGAAAACTATTAAGACTTATTTGTATTTGTCCTTGGGGTCAGAGGAGTCATTTGTGCAAAAAACAAACCTTTTGGTTTCCTTTCCCCCCTTTCAGCCTTAGGAACAGGGGATGATAAATGGGCTTTGAACTGCTTCTACAAGCTGTATTTCTTGTTTTGCAAAGATTTGTAAGATAAGAACAACTGCCCTCAAAACCGTAACTTAAGTAACATCATCAATTGATCTGTCTAGCTACTGGTACACCTTCCTAATTTGCATCTTTTCCTCTAGACACCTAATTTTATTTTAGCTTGAGGAGGAGGCTGAAAGACTCCACATACATGAGAGGTTCAGGGGCAGAAAGTTAACTGAGATATATATGACTATGGATGAGGTAAGGTGTCTTGAGGGCTTCAAGAGGTCATTACATGATGATAAGAAGAGCAGATGTTTAGAAATTAAAAGTCTGTCCTGTCTTATAGATAGATCATAAAAAGGTATTTCTGGGATTAAATCTTTTGTGGGCAAGGCCCCTGATTTACATTCATTAAGGGAGAGGTTAAAGTTTCTCAGGAGCCTGTAGAGTCTTTATTGCCCTCAACTCAAAATAATCCACATTCCAAAGGGCCTTCGTTGGAGAGGCCTCTTCTAAACCCTTGCTAATACACTATCCAGTACACGTTGGGCTTGAAGGAACCTTAGAGATCATGCACTCACATAATGAGGAAATCAAAGAATGCTAGAGGAAATGATTCACCCAATCACACAAATGAAGCGACAAAACTGGGACTAGATCCCATTTCACGTGACTGTCTATCAAGTCACCCATGTAATTCCCATGATTCTGAACACAGTTTCACATGTGCCTGTGTACCTGTGGTCTGTGTAATACCAACATGAAATCTGCTTAAGTTGTATTTTTGGCAAAATTCGTTCCCACTCACTTGGGTCCATAAATATGCTCAGGTTTGCCTGTCCACCCGTCATTTCTGGTGTGTTCTTATGCGTATTGCAGTTGTTTTATGGCTGTTTTAAGATGAAAGATGTATGTCAGCCTGCGGTTGCTGGTTTTGTGTCTTATGTGATTACTTGGTGCCTAAGGGCAACTGTGACTATGGTAGGATTGTGGTCCCTATTTATGCGCCTCCTTTCATGTTGAAAGGTGCGTGTCTGCTGACAACTGTGCGTCCATCTGGATGTGTGTTTGTACACAGTGAAGGCGGTGGGTTTATCTGTGGCCACGTGGACTGCATGTTGAAAGGCGGAGGGGGAGCCTGTCTTTTTCTCTTATCCCCGGATTATGAGAAAACGTGGATAAGCCGTGTGTCCAAGAGAGGAACGTCTGTGTCCCATCCAAGCTCGGTCCTCCCCCAAGAACTGGGGTTCCGTCTAGTTCAGGGATGCTTTGGCATTGCTTTCCCCGGAGGCCTGGCCTCCCCTCTGCCACCTCCTCTCCGGGAGCAAAAGCCCTCGGGGACTGGGGCGGCGGGCGGAGGGGCTGTGAGCAGCCTGGCCCCGCCCCCTCCCACTCCAGCCTCCCCATTGGCTCAGCCCGCGGTGACGTCGCGGGGATCGCAGCCCGAACCCCCGGCGCCCGGAGCGCGGGAGGTCTTGCCCGTCACCCCCGTCTCCTCCTCACCTTTCCCCAGGCGCGTCCGTGTCCCTGCAGCCCGGAGCCGGTGCCGGCGGCCGCCGTCTCCGCCATGGTGTCCCCGGTCACCGTGGTGAGTGAAGGAGCCAGTGAGCCGGCGTTCTGCGGGGCCCGCGCCCACCGGCCCGGGGACTGCCCCGCGGCGGGCCCAGCCCCGGGGGCCGGGGAAGGCGGAGGGGTCCCACGGCGGCGGCGGCGGCGGCCTCCCCGGCCGGAGGCGGCCGCTGTCAGGGCCTCCCGGCTCCCCGGGCCCACGGCGCCCTCCTCCGCGCGCCCCCCGCCCTCCGCGCCGGGGAGGGACACCGCGGGCACGTGACTCTGGAGCGTGACTCTGTGGATTCGTGCGTGTCTGGCCCCGGGCCGGCGGGAGCGCTGCCGTGGGTTCCCGGGGAGGGCGCGGGCGCTGGCCGCTGGGTTCTGCACGGGGGATGCGTGGGAGAGAGAGGGCGAGGGCGGGCGGGAGGGTGACTGGGTCCTCCGGAGAATCCTGTCCCCCCAAATCTGTTTTCTCCCCTTCCTCAGGGTATAAACAAGTCTGGGTCCGGGTGGGGACGCACCTGAGTCAAAGCTTCGACCATAAGACGAAGCAGCAGGAAGAGGGTTTCATGATCTATGGACCCCTCTTCCTGTGCAGACTTTCTCAACTCTAACCCTTTCCCCATATTTTCTCTAAGGCTGGGCTCTTTACGACTGTCCGAGTCTCCCCAGCTACTACTGGCTATTTCTTCTAGAAAATAAGGGGCTGGGGGGGGGGGGGGTTTGGAGCAGATGTTCCTGCTTGCAGGGGCTGGCTGGTGGGTGCTGGGGAGATCTGGGTCCGGTGGGGGCTGTTCATCTGTCTCTTTCAGTCTCCTGCTCTGCCTCCGCCCTGCCTCTGCCCTGCCTCTGCCCCTGCACTGCCCTGCACTGCCCTGTCCAGCCTGGATGGGGGAGATATCTAGAGGAAGGGACTTAGTCATCTTTTCTTCCTGTTCTCACCCTCGCAGAGTAAGGGCAGTCTTACGACCCTGGACCCACCCATCTTCCTCTTCCCACCCTCCTTCATCAGTCTGAGTAGTCCCCAGGTGTAACTGGTGATCTGGAAACTGAGCATGTCCCCTGAGCCTTGTGCTGGACAGCTCACCCAGACAGAGGCACGTTCACTTTGGGCAGAATGTGGGTATACAGGGCACCTCCGCTACTCTGAATAAGCTCTTAGAGACCTTGTACCAGAAGCTCAAGGAAAGGAGTTTCAGGGGATCACATATCCAGACTATCTTGGACCTTGTTCCCCATCTCCTCCCAAGGATTGTGGAGCTTTGGAACAAGCTTAGAGAGTGCCTGCAAGTGACCTTGGACACAATCTTTCTTTAGCTGCCCTCCCTCCCTGGTCCGGCTGAGTCCAAGTCAGCTGCTCTAACTTCCCCCTCATAGTTCCCCATGTCCTTCCAGCCTGTCTGCTGGCTTCAGATCAAAAACTGGATAGAGAACCCCCACCCCTTCCTGCCTCTTTCTGTTGTGCCTCGGAATTGTGCTCTCTGGGAAATGAGACTGACACCCTCTCTCCCTCCAACCTCCCTGAAATTGCAGGTGTTTCAGGGGCAGTTTTGCTCCCAACTCCTGGGTCCATTTTTCTAGCCCAGTGGTCGGCAAACTGCGGCTGAGAGCCACATGTGGCTCTTTGGCCCCTTGAGTGTGGCTCTTCCACAAAATACCACATGCGGGTACTTTGATTGGAACTTCGTAGCCCATGTGCAGAAGTTGGTTTTCGGCTCTCAAAAGAAATTTCAGCCGTTGTACTGTTGATATTTGGCTCTGTTGACTAATGAGTTTGCCGACCACTGCTCTAGCCAGTATCCCTAGCTCCTAACCTTGCCCATGATGGTTACCTTTACACTGGAGCCGTTGGAGTGGAGGCTGAGGAGCAGACTGGCTGAGGAGAGAGCCTGCAGGGCCTGGGGTGGTTGGCAGTGTACCACATCACTCATCCCTGGCACTCACCTGGTATTGCCAAAGCCCTGAGCCTGTGCCCTGGCCCCACTGCTAAGGATCATGAGTTGGCCAGTTGTCCAGGTGTCTCTGTGGTTTTCTGTTGACTGCACTCCAGACAGCTGAGGGCTGATGCTGGCAGAGAGGAGCAACAGGGGCTTTGGGGGAGGGACAAGGAGGGAGGCAGGAAGGGTGAAGCGTCTGGGCTGCAGGAGAGGACATTATCCCAAGATCTGCTTTCTGCCCAGTGAGTGACCATTCTGGTCCTGCCCCAGGGTCAGCAATGCATATGGCCAGCAGGAATAGTGGAGCCCTTCCCCTTCCTAATGAGTGAAGCCTCAGGGTAGCGATGGGTTTGTTCACATTCTGCTGGCTGGTTGGGGCAGGCCAGACTGGTTTGTGTGTGTCAATCCTCCATATTTGGGAGGTGGGCCCGTCTTTGGGGTGAAGGTCCGGGCTGGCTCTGAAGTCCCGAGCTCTGAGTGCTGCCCTTGTCCTGTGTCCTCCAGGTGAAGAGCGAGGGGCCCAAGCTGGTGCCCTTCTTCAAGGCCACCTGCGTGTATTTTGTGCTCTGGCTGCCCTCGTCCAGCCCGTCGTGGGTCAGCGCTCTCATCAAGTGCCTGCCCGTCTTCTGCCTCTGGCTCTTCCTTCTGGCCCATGGCCTAGGATTCCTGCTCGCCCACCCCAGTGCCACACGCATCTTTGTAGGGCTCATCTTCTCCACCCTAGGCGATGCCTTCCTCATCTGGCAGGACCAGGGCTACTTTGTACACGGTCAGTTGCTGCAGTAGCTACCTGGGAGGAATCCTGGGGTTGGGGGCCAGAGAGTCCTAGAGGGCTAAGGATTTGGGAGCTTTGGAACAAGAATATGGGGAATCTGAGGGGTTTTGAGACCAATAACTATGGGGCCCCCTATTGGAGAATGACCTGGCTGGTGATCTAATGATCAGTTTTGGAGTTCCTCAGGGGAGTTGGGGTCTTTACCTTTGTGGATTTCCTCCCACCCTTGTTCCTTCCAAAACAGAGCTCCTGGGTTATCCCAAATAACTCGATTCCCTCCCCGCCCCTGTACTCATCACTCACCTAAGCCTGCCCTCAGCAGAGCCTCATTCTCTCACTCCCAGGTCTACTGATGTTTGCTGTGACCCACATGCTCTACGCCTCAGCCTTTGGCATGCGGCCATTGGCTCTTCGGACGGGTCTGGTGATGGCAGCGATGTCGGGCCTGTTCTATGCCTTCCTCTACCCAGGCCTCTCCGGTCCCTTCACCTACTTGGTGGGGGCCTATGTGGCCCTCATCAGCTTCATGGGCTGGCGGGCTATAGCAGGGCTACGGCTGGTCGGGGCGGCCTGGCGCTGGACTGAGCTGGCAGCTGGCGGTGGTGCAGTGCTCTTTATCATCTCTGATGTGACCATCGCTGTCAACAAGTTCTGCTTTCCCGTGCCCTACTCGCGGGCACTCATCATGTCCACCTACTATGCTGCCCAGATGCTCATTGCCCTGTCAGCTGTTGAGGACCGGGAGCCAGTGGAAGACTACAGACTGAGCAAGGCCAACTGACAACCCCACGGGCTAGGGCCTGGTCACCTGTCCTCTCCTGGAACTGGGGTCCAGAACCTGGGAACCTGCAAGAGTAGGCTCAGGATGGCTGCAGTTTCAGACTGAGGCAGCAGGTGCCACCTGGAAAATGGACACGTTTGATGGGGTGAGCCGGGAAGGATCTCTAGCAAAGCTGGTGGTCGAGGACAATGCTGAGAGCTTAAGAGTCAGGCCAGTGTTCCTTGCTGGAGCCAGAAGTAGACATCTCCCCGCCTCCACCCCATTGGGGTTGTCACAACCCCTCTGGAGGGTGATGGTGCTCAGCTTCTTGACCCCCCCGCACTTCCTCTAGATGGAAGAGTCTGGCTCGCCCACTTTGTGATCTATGTAGAGTTGAGGGGGAGGGGAGAAGTCTGTGCTAAGGCTTGAAGCCCCTTTCAAAGGCCCATAGTTGGGAAGATTGGATGGAGTGGAGTCTCCCTTTCCCTCACCTATCCTGTTACTTGAACAATCGCAATCTCTGTGTGGTGGGTAGGAAAGTGTGTGACCAAGTAGGCAAGAGAGGGGATTCATTGGCCTGGGAGCTTGAGGTATCAAGGACTCACGTTGGTCCTGTCTCTCTCAAAGGCCAGCCTAGAGCTCAGGCCCCATATCACCACCCTCAGACCCTATCCCCAGGGCTAGGGTGAACCATGCCAAAGGAAGGGACCAGCCTGTGTGTGTCTATGTGTGTGCAATTTTGTCTCCCAGCCTGTGTCTTTCTCTGCCATCTGTCTCTGTTCTGCTGTCTGTCAGTGTCTTATAGGGAGAGGCCTCAGGGAGCTGCTGAAGGGATATTGAGCCTGGCTTGGAATGCTGGAAGTCCCCCCGAAACACCCCCAAGTTCTTTTTTCCTTCCACTCCTGTACTGGGAGCAAGAGGAGGGGGGCTCCAATGACACTCTAGGGTCACAAGACCCAAGGCACATTCAATGCAAGGTGAGCAAGGATGAGACAACTCTATCCTTTATACTGTTCATATGAAAAAATAAAAATAAAACCAAGGGCCGCTGGCTGCCCTGCTTGTCTGTCTGTGTGGCGCTTGCCTATCCTGGAGAGGAGGGTGTGGGGGCATGGAGCCAGGGGCCCTGGATGTCCTCATAGTCTGGGTCACAGTACTGGCCAGTGCATCTTGGCGCCAGGCTGGTTTCCCTGGCTCTGGTAACACTGCTGGTTGGAGTGGGTCTCACTTCCCTGGTCACATGTGTGGGTGAGAATGTAGTTCAGGAGGATGGGGGATGGGTAGAATTTTCCTCTGTCCAAATTTGTCCTGAGGCACTTGCCTGTGCATGGGGGCCCAGCACCTTTGGTGGTCCTTAGTTACCCAGTGTCCTTCTGCTGCCCACCTCCTCCCTGCCTCACCCTAGGCCTGCTGCCTGTTCCAAACGATCCAGATTCTCTTCAACCATCTTCTCTTCTTAGACCCAGGGCTCAGTTGAACAGCGTGGAGGAATGGGATTAGACTGGGTCATTCATGCTTTTGATGGGACGCCCTGGTAGGATTATGTTTCTCCCATACTCCAGGGATATTTGCATCTTAACGGGCAGTGCTCTGACCCAGAATTTGAAAGGGAAGCCTTGGGTGGTTTTGAATAGTAGAGAGGTTGTATAGTTATGGGGATATGACAGAAGGCAATGCAGGTCCCTTGTGGGTATTGAATGAATCAGTGATTTTTTAAAAAAAAAGGGTTTTTACAGAAAGCTCTGGTGGGAGACAGCAAAAGAATAAGTAAAGGAGGGAGGCTCAAAGACCTCTATCTCTCCCTGCTTTTTTTTTTTTTTTTTTTTTTTTTTTTTAAAGGGAAGGATTCCACTGCAAAAACAAGTTTGAAACCAAGAGCAGGATGACTAATCCTTTCTAGCTCTGAGATGCTCTAGTTCTCAAACGTTGGAAAGGTCCCGAAGCCCTTCAAACCCCAGAACTTTGATGACAGGAATGATGTAAAGGAATGAGAAGGAACAGGATGAGGAGAAGATGAATCAGGCAAGACTTGCCCACCCATGCCAGGAGAGGAGGGGAGGGTGCAGTGTGGTTATGGAGGAGAGGAAGGGGAAGGCAAAGGCCCAGTCAAGTGGAGGCTGGTCACTCTCTCTGTGGGTGGGTTTGGACAGCAGTCTGGGTTGTGTGAATCTCCATTCCTCTTCTACTTCCATCTCCTTGGTCCCTGCTATACACCAACTGTACACCACCCTCAGAGACAGGAAAGGATGAGCTTGCTCAGTTTATTGTTCCATCCCTTCATTGAATGTTTACATTGACAAGCACCAGAGAGCAAACTGGGTTTCCCTCAATGGAGCCATATAGAGGACAGGCCAAGAGGACCCACATCACAACATCCTGATGCCAGGACTGGGATGGAGCTCACATAAGGTATAATACTTTGATTTCTTCTGCAGGCTCTCAGTGACTGATGCTAGAATTGTCTTGTCATCCTTGTCTGAAACAGCAAGGCAAGTGTTTGTTAGTTTAGTGATGCCAGGGTTAAGGGAAACTCCACATAGCTGGTTACTATGCAGGAACTGCCTGGGACTCTCAATTCTTCCCTGGGGCTGGGCCCCAGTTCTAGTCTTCCAAGGTCAGCTGAGTGTGTGTAGCCAAGAGCTGCCAGTTATTCAGCACTTAATACTGTGCCAGGCACTTCCATGCACTATCTCACTGAAGCCTCACAACAGCCCTAAGAAGTAGATGAGAAAATAGGCACAGAATGGTTTGCCAAGGTCACACGTCTGGTCACTGGTGGAGCCAGGGCCCTGGCCCATGTGTTTAACAACCAGAATTGAGTTGTCAGGGATCTCTCTCCAGCTGTGGTATGAAATCTAGCCATCTCCCACTGTGCCTTCCCTGGTCTAGTTCTGTCACATAGTTCAGCAGCCACTCTGAAGGCATCACCTCAGTGTGGCAGGCATGTAGCTGACTTGAGAGCCAGAGCAACAGGACAAGGTTCTTTCCCCAAGGAAAGGCATCTATCACAGGATGAAACAGGTCTATAACTAGGGAGACCATGAACTTCAATAGACTGTCATGGAGATTTCAGGGAGTGACAGTGGATGAAGCTTGGAGAGGTAGTTGTGGGCGGGGTGGAGCCTTGTTGGTTGAGATTTTGTTGAGAGGATCATGGGAAGTTCAGCAGGAGGGAACAAGGAAGGTCAGCTTTGCATTTAGCTATGCTACTAGCTGTGTAGCTGTGAAGACAGTAGACTGTGTAGGAAGGCATAACATACTTCCCCTACATGTGCACACACAAGCAGAAATGTGGCATATACATGTAGAATGTGGGCATCCACTAGGTTCCCTTTAGCCCTCTCCTCATTTGTGCATCCCATTTCCCCTTATGCAAGACCAGTAGTTTTCAATCTTGGATCACTTGCAAACATTTGTAACCTGAAGATTCTTTCCATGACTCTGCCAGAGAGATTGTGACTGGGGAGTCGGTGTCTTTTTCAAGGCAAGTCTAGGCCTACCAAAGGTGGCAAACTACAGTCGCCTGAGGGCTTGCCAACTCTCACATCTGCAGGGGCCAGGCACATAACCAATGACACTGAGGGTGGAGAGTGGTACCAAATACGGCAATGTTTAACCACCTGATGGCAGATTAAATACAACACATTGCCAGCCATGTGGAGTCAACAACCTCCAGGACTGCCATTTGGTGCCTCTGCCCCAGATGGGAAGCAGCCCGTTTCCCATGCCCACTGCACCCCCGGCTCCTCCTGCAGCGCTCTCACCATAGACAGTGAGTGTGCAGCCGCTGCGGTCCTTGCCCAGCTCGTTCTCCACCGGCACGCTGTACTCGCTGCTGTCCTTGAGTGTGCAGGTGGGGATGATGATGGTGCACACCCCGCTGGTGGAGTTGTACCAGAACTTGGAGTTGGCTGTGATGTTGACGTCACCCTTGTAGAGGGTCACGGTGGGCAGGGGGTTCCCGAGGAAGGCACAGGGGCTTGAGCGGAGCCAGGAAGTGCGGTGCGTGGCGCCAGTCCTTTTTCTCATACGGCTTTAGCTTGGCGCTCAGGTCTTCGACTGTGAGGAGGAAACGCAGAGGCCGTGAGCATCTCCGGGTCCCTACCAGCTCAGAAGGTGCCCTTGAGACCCAGTACATGGAATTTTGATAAGCTGGGTTAGATTCCCAGATGCCACCAACTTTGGGGACTGACTTTTTATTGCTTCCTAAAGTTCTCCTACCACCCCCTTCCCACCCACTTTACCACTTCAGGGTTTTATACTTTCCAGATCCTGGAGCCCTAGACTTTCTAGCCACCAGCTTCCAAAAACTGAGGTGTTCTCCTGCTTTTAATTCCCCCTCCAAGCTTTCCTCAGTGTCCTCTCAGTTCTCTCCTATATAGCCTTGCATTTCACATTTCTTGACACTGTCCCCGCCCTTAACCCCTTCCCTCCACAGTTGCTGGACTTCATGCCCACTCCCTGCTCCTTAGAGACCCTTTCCAGTCCTCACTGCCTTCAGCCCCTGGGCTCAGGACCACTCTCAGCACTACACCCTGCTCCTCCCCCTGGCCCAATACTGTCCCTCAAGGGTACCTCCCCACCTCCATCTTAGTCTCACTCCTCAGTGTACCCCAAAGGTGGCTTCTCCCCTAGGCTTCCTGACCTTACTTGCTCTGCCCAGCTTCCCAATGTTCCCAATGTGCCCACCTCAATGGTTCTCTGATTTTACCTTAAATCTCTGGTACCCTCTTGCATCAGGGATCTCAGGCATAACCTGAGCCCCTAAACACCCTGACTCACTCTTGTCCTTGTTGACGTGCCAAGTGTCCTTGGAGTCCAGTGGATCACTGTCTCCGATTTAGTTCCGAGCCAACACGCGGAAGTAGTACTTCTTGCCAGGGAGCAACCCGGTCACCATGTACTTGTTGCTGAGGACGTGCTCGGCTGCTGTGAACCAGGTGGCGGTGCTCGCATCCCGTTTCAGGATGACGTAGTGGGCCTCACCGTCCTGCACATCGGGGCTGTGGTTCCAGTTCAGGGTCACAGTGTTGGGAACCTCCTCAAACAGCTGTAGGTTTGTGAGTGGCCGTGGGAAATCTGGAATAGGCAGAGGGTCCATCAGCCCTGAGGGGTTTAAGGCTTTATGTAAGCTTCCAGCACTCTCTAAACTTTCATTTTTTAAATAACTGACTTGTCTTACAAACTGAGTTTTTTTTTTTTTTTTTTTTTTTTTTTTTTTTTTAGTATGTTTTTATTAATTTTAGAGGGAGGAAGGGAGAGAGATATAGGAACATCAATGATTAGAGAGAACCATTGATTGATTGCCTCCTGCACTCTCCCTACTGGGGACCCAGCCCGCACCCTGGGCATGTGCCCTGATCCGAAATGACCTGGTGACCTCTCAGTGCATGGGAGACACTGAACCAACGGGGCCACACTGGCCAGGGTCACCCCAGTTTTTAACTGATTATCTTCCTCTTTACCTCCTGCCTGTCACCCATTCTCTGCTGTTTTTCTGAACCTACTCTACATGTGTGCTGAAGCTCACCAGGTATGGTAGCAGAAGCTGAAACAAGGGCTTGGTCCTCTTTCAGTGCCCTTGGAGCTTCGGGACAGTGAGGAAAAGTGGCAACAACCCTTCCCATTAAGGCAAAGGCAGATAAAGTCTTACTCCGTGGCACCAAAGAGGCCTTCACCTCCCGAAGGCATGATTGTACAGCGGTAGGAAAGCAAGCACAGAGGGAGCTACACTTTGGAGACTGTGCAGCGATGCTCCTTGAGGCCTCTGCCGCTGTCATACCTGCCACTCTCACGTGGATGTCATAGTGTGCCTCTCCGAACTCATTCTGGAGCAAGATGCGGTACACGCCCGAGTCGGAGCGCTTGGTGCTGTTGATGAAGAACTGGGAGTGGTTTTTGTCCTTGGTGATAGCTTCCCTGCCCTTGGTGGGGATGCCTTTTTTTTTTTTTTTTTTTTTTTTAAGATTTTGTTATTTTTTATTGCCAATTAATATTCCATTTTTATTTATATCAAAACTTCTTTATCCACTTGCCAAAAACATGAAACTATTAAGTTTTAACTCTTAAACCTTTTTTTTAGCTTAGTTTTTGCCTTGACAATTTTTCATTAAATGTCCTATCTTTGAATCATATCTTACTGAAAAAGATCATTATGCTAAGAAAATGTATTATAATACAGGCCCATTGCATGAAATTTGTGTGGGGGAAAGGGAGTGGGGGGAGAGTACAGGGGGGCGCTGTCCCTCAGCCCGGCCTGCACCGTCTCCAGGGATGCCATCTTTCTGCCAGATCACGTTGGGAGGTGGTGAGCCCTGGTGGCGACAGGAGATGGCACCAGGGGTCACCCAGCTGGTATTTGGGGGTAGGTTCTCCCCCAACGTTGAGGAGTCTCCTGCCAGGCTCTGGTGTCAGGCGCCTGGCGAGGGGCAGAGGCAGAGACTACGGAAACTACAGCAGCCATCTTGGTTAAGTGGTGCACCTCGGGGGGCCAGGGTCCGGAATGACTCACGGAGAAGACAGCATGGATGCAGAGGGCTGTCCCAGCACGAACCACCATGTGACTCTTCAGCCAGGCACTCAGGTCAAATTTGGGGGCAGTTGAGATGAAGGAGACAGAGATTGGGACATGCATCTCTCTTTCCAGAAGCCTCAGTCTAAGCCTCCCCTCCAAAGCCTTTCCAACCTTTATGCCCTCATCATAGGCCATAAAGACATCTAACAGCCCTGCATGGCCGTGAAGCATTTATCTGTTTTCTCATCGGTCTTCCTCTAATTGTATGTAAAACCCTTGAGGATAAGTCGAGTGTTTTATTTGTTTCATTATCCCTCACACCTCCTTTGGCACACAGTAGGTACTATTTGGCACATATGAGTTTTTTTTTTTTTTTTTTTTTTTTTTTTTTGTGGGAAAGCCCCTAGGATCACCCTTGGCTCTATCCAGGCACAGCAAGTATGGATGACTTTTTCCTGATCACAGTATGACCCAATTTCCCCCTGTGGAATGAGGTCCCAGCGAGGAAGGTTTGGAAGCTGGGATAAACCCTTGGCCCTCTGTGCTCTCACCTGGGGGTGGCATGGCACGGACCCCCTCGTCCAGCTCCATGGGCTCCTCAATCCCAGCCTCATTCACAGCCCGGATTCAGAAGAAGTATTTCTGCCTCTTGGTGAGGCCTCCCACGGTGTAGCAGGTGCCCGAGATGGGGATCTTTGTGCACTTGGACCACTCTTTGGAGTCTTCAGCTCGCATCTCCAGGATGTAGCCAGAGGGTGGGTCTCCCTCTGCTGGCTCCCTCCAGGCCAGGGAGATACTGGAGTTGGAGGAATCAGAACGTGCAGGCCCTGCACCAGGCCTGGGGGTTCTGGGGCACAACACGCATCCAGTCAGCCCCTAAACTCGTTTTCACTCAATCCCGTGCCAGTTCCCACATTCAATGGCCCTGAAAACTAACTTCACAACTTCTCTCTCCATTCTCACAGTTAATACCCTCAATACCCGACCTTGCACAGTCAGCAATCTCCAAGTTCAATTCTCTCACTTAACACGTTCACCCTTGAAGTCAGTGTCCTCCAAATTCAGCATGTTATACACATTCCACCCCTCTACATACAACCCCCCAACTTTTTTTTTTTTTTTTTTAATATATTTTATACAGAGAGGAAGGGAGAGAGATAGAGAGTTAGAAACAACGATGAGAGAGAGTCATCAATCAGCTGCTTCTTGCACGCCCCCTACTGGGGATCTGCCTGCAACCAAGGTACATGCCCTTGAATTGAACCCGGGACCAGACCCTTCAGTCCCCAAGCCGGCGCTCTATCCATTGAACCAAACCGGTCCCGGCTCAACCCCCCAACCTTTAACCCAACTATCTCCACCACGTCCTTTCACATGCAATATTGCCACCTCAACTCCTAAATTCAACACTCTCCCACCATCTACCTAGCACTACTACCCCATCCTCAACTATGCTTCTACTACCTCACTTAATACCAGAAATACTCTGAGTTTAATAAAAAAATTTTTTCCCCCAACCTGCCTCCTCATTGTCTCTGGCTCTCAATATTTATTTATTGGCTTTCTTATGTGTCTGAATTCTGTCTCTCTGATAGGCTGGAAGCTCCCAGAAAGTGAAGACTCCTTGATACTTGCCCACTCTACACCCCATTACACTTTCCCATAGAAGCATTCCTCTTTCTACGGTGAATAGGCTAATTCCACTATGTGTTGGGGCCTGGAAGCCCCTAACTCACTGACAGGGTCTCTGGCCACCACTGAGTTGGATGGTATACTGGGCTGTCCGGGGCCTGCCTTATTCACAGCTATAACTTGGAATTCATATTCTGTATCATCCAGGAGACCATCCACTTGCATTTGGTGCCTGAAATGGGAATTTGAGTGGTCATGAGGACAGGAGGTCCATGCAGTAAGAGGGCAAGAAAGAGGCGGTTGTGGGTGCTATTAAAATCCCCAAAGGAGTTGGGGAAGGGAGTATGTTCAGATCAACAGGGGTCATGGTCCATCCAGCAAAGCCTCTCTTAGTCCCTTCCTGGACTCCGTCTCCAGGAACTCACCCTGGATGGGGTCCTTGTTGAATGGCACCCACAGGTTACTGCCTTTCTTCCTCTGTTCTACAATGTAGCCAAGCACTGGGGCTCCCCCATCCTGGGTGGGTTCATTCCACGTGATGGTCATAGTCTCTTTGGTCACATCAGTCACTTGAGGCTGGGAGGGAAGACCAGGGGGCTCTATAAGGGATGGAGAGAGGGCAGAGGTTAGGAGAGGGAGCACATAGACAGTTGCCCACCCCATGCTGACCTCTGGCTGCCTCTTTAAAAACATACGCTCAACTTAAACCCATGATTCTTAACTCTGGTTGCACATTAATATGAAGTGGGAAGAAGAAAAGAACAAAACACACCCCACCAATAATTAGTGTCTAGGTCCTACCTCCAGATAGTTTAAATTAAGATTGAGAATCACCCACTTAAACCTTCCAACATGTGTCACCCCCAATGCCCCAGTTTTTAAAAATGTGTGTGTGTGTGTGTGTGTGTGTGTGTGTGTGTGTGTGTGTGTGAGAGAGAGAGAGAGAGAGAGAGAGAGAGAGAGAGAAAGAGAGAGAGAGAGGCTGTTATACTTATTTATGCAATTTATGCATTTATTGGTTGACTTCTGTATGTGCCCTGGCCGGGGATTGAACCCACACCTTGGCATATTGGAGCAACACTGACCAACTGAGCTACCCAGCCAGGTTGCTCCAGTTCTTAAGGTACTGTCTTGACAAGTTGGGACATGGGATCAGTTGGAAGGAGTGTAGCAAATAATTTAGTAATCTTAATTGAAATATTGATGTTATCAAAGGTTTTCTTTGGAAAAAGAAATCTTAGCATGGATTAAGGTTATTCGTAAAGTAACATCTCTCACTTGGGTTTGGGATGGTTTCTGGAGTGGAGAAACAGAGTAGAGTCAGGTGCCTGGAATTGTGCACAGTTTTGGAAATATACGCAGGAGTATGTTGTGCATGTGCTCTGACTGGGAAAAGTTAAGAATTCCTGCCCCAGAGGATATTTGGCTCTTACTCTGGAATCCGTCTGTCTCATGGGTGACTAGAGAAATGACCCTGTGAAATTCCCCACAGACCAGCATTCCTCACTGGCTAAAGCCCCCCGTCCTGAATCCTGAGTGTGCCACTGAGCTTGGGGCTATCTCACTGACCGATAGGATTTCCTACAAGCACTTCATCTGTCTCCAGAGAGTCACTCACTCCTTCTGAGTTGACGGCCAGGATGCGAAACTAGTAGGCTTTTCCCTCTTCCACTTTGTTGGTGGAGAACTTGGTGTCTTTGCTGTCCACTTCGCCTATTTTAATACAGGACTTCTTGCCGACTGCCCTCTGTTCCACTATGAGCTGTGTCACAGGCCGCCCATCATTGTCCTTTGGGGCCTTCCACTTCATGTGCACACAATTACCCGAGAGCTCCAGGAACTCCACTCGCCCTGGGGAGGCTTGGGACGGTCTGAGGACAGAAGATGTTGTCAGCCTGGGGCTTTGGAGCAAAGAGTCAAAGGGATTCATCCCAGTTGCCTGTGGCCCAGCCAGACTAAATCATAGCTAGATTCTGAACTTTCCCTGTGTCCACTAGCCTTCCTTCTAAGATCTGTCCAAAGATTTGTTCCTTGCCCTTCCGCCCAAGTCTCATGTCTGCCTCAGAGTGGGTAGGCTAAAGATCTGAGGGGCATTGTCAGACCCCCATCTTGTCCCCTTCCAGACAAGATCTTCCCCTCTTCTGAGCTTCCAGAACTCCAGTGTTCTCTGGTTATTAGACATGTTAGAATTACATGTCTACAAGTTTCCCTTTTGGGTTGAGGGACTGCTGGGGATACTTCACCTCTGTGTCCTCGGGACTGAGAACACAAAAAAGGTGCTAATTTTGCTACTGGATTGAATCGAATCCAAACCTTCCCACCCCACGGCTTGATGGAAATGCAGGAGGAAGAGGAGGGAATGGTGTCTGAGTGTTACATGTGGAATATGAGTTCACAAAGGTCAGCTTCTCATCTCTTTACTCAAACTTATGCTCTGACCCATCTCAAATCCCATTCCCACTCATATTCCAAGTTTTTCTCCAATCTCATTTTATCCTCAATCCCAACTCCAATAATCTCCCCAACTAACCGCACTTCCATCCCTAAAATCCCCCCCCCCCTTTTTTTTTTTTACCTCATTGCCACCATACACCCAACTATGTCCTCATCTCCAAGTCAATAATAATACTTCAGTAACATTTGAAGGTCTATTATATGCTATGCACTGTGCTTTATTCACTTGAAGTAGTTACTTTAAAAAAATCACTCTCTTCCACAGAGAAACTGAGACTTAGGAAAGTTAATTGACTTGCCCAAGGCTACCTAGTTAGGAAGTGGGGCTTCTGGCTACAAAGCCAGAACTCTATTGCCATTCTCAACCCAAACTCCAACTCTGTCTCCAGTCTGCCTCCTACCCTGAGCACTAGACGCAGGTGCCCTCAGCTCAGCCCACCCAGGGTCCTGCCCTCACCCAGCACGTTGAGGTGAGAGTAGCCGTGGCTGAGCCATGGTCATTCTTGAGCTTGAGCAGGACAAGGCCACTGTCCTCACGCACGCAGTTGGAAATGGTGAGCAATGCCTGGTCTTCCTTGTGTTCCATGGACATGAGTTACTCCTCTGTCACCTCCACGCCATCCTTGTACCATGTCACTTTGGGAAGTGGCTTTGCCCGGAAGACTAGGAGATGACTAATGAGGTTGGGGTGGGGGTAGCCAATCGTTCAAGAAAGCTTAGCAGAACTTATGCTGCTCAGTTGAAGAAGGAGAATGGATAATGGGCATGCAGGTGGTTGGTGGAGTTGGGATGATTAGTTGTGGTGTTGCTGGTCTGTGAGAGGCCCAGGGTCATTGGGAGTTGAGGGTGATAAGGATCAGTGGGCAATGGTCCAGGCTAGTGAATGGGGATTGGCCAGGATCAAGAGGTGTGGGATGATCATGTTTTCTGGGGATAGTCAGAGACTAGAAGTAAAGGATGAATGAAGTGAAGGGATTTTGGATAGAGTTCAAGAGATAGGGGATGATCAGGATCTAGGAGGTAGAGATGGTCAGAGCCTGGGAGGTCAGAATGTGAGAGATGGGGGTGGTCAGAGTGGAGAGGTAGAAACTGATCATGGTCTGGGGGAGGGTTGAAGTCATAGGGGGCTGATCCATATCCAGACTGACAGGGTGCATACCCTCCATGGTGACTGTGGCAGTACTGCAGTATTCAGTGGGGTCCCCATCCTGCATTGTGACCACGGTGTACTCGCCACCGTCACTGAGCTGTGCATCCTCAATGATCAGCTCTGCTCGCTTGTCCTCATGGCTCATGCTGTACTTGTTGCTGCGCTCCAGCAGCTGCCCATCCTTCTTCCAGCACAGTGTCACGTTCTTGGATGTCAGCTCACACTCAATACATGCACGGCTCCTCTCTTTCACATGCACATTCTTGAGGGTGCTCACAAACTTGATGGGGATGCCTGTGGACAGAGAAACACTTGGACCTGTCCCTGACCACCTACATCCCCTTCTGCAGCTACTTGCTGCTCTGATCATCTTTTTGGCCCCAGAAAGAACAGGGACTCGTGGAGTGTGTTTACTTGCTAGCTGACTGCAATGCATTTATTCTCTGAATCTCTGTTTCCTCATATATAAAATGGGATAAATATCCCCTGGTAACCCCCCAAATAACTGCATTCTCTCTCCATTGTCCGGGTCTTTACACATACTATTCCCTCTTCTGAGAATGTCTCCTCCTCTCCCTCCTTCTCTGAAAGCTGAACTATTTTTTGTTCTTGGTAAAGCTCGGCCATCACCTCATCACATTCTTTCTGACATGGCCAGGTGGTGCCTCTTCTTTAGGCTCCTACTGCTTCTTTGTCTCCCTCCATCACAGTAATGATAATTCCATGTCACAGGTGTCAAGTGTGGTTCCCATGTGCGACATGTTTCTTGGTGTACCCATCACCATCAGGTACAATTCTCCAAACTAGTTACAAGAATGTGAATAGTCAAGAGTGATATGCTATAATATATGCAATATGTGATATAATAATTTCTTGGCTCATGATTTCCCAGCTGACAATAAGACCTTCATATATCTTGACTCCTTGCTTGAGAATTTTAATTCTATTTCCACATGTGCCTCTCCCACTATACTAGGAGTTAGGGGAGAGGCAAACCCTCTCTGTTTCTATTATAGTACCCATCAAAGGGCTTTGCAAAGAAGAGATGAATGGATAGATGAATGGATGAATGGTTGAATGGATGGATGGATGATTGCCCATGTGGAAGTTGCTGTGTCATAAAGCCCACCCCTCAAGCTCTGGCCCAATCACTCATGGTCAATAGTGAGCTGGGCCTTCTGTACCAGGTCCCCCACCTGGGCAGAGAACTCGCCACTGTCACTGAGTCGGTCATCCTTAATCTTAAGCGTGTGGGTCAGACCATCCTCAGACACTGAGATTTCATACTTTTCATCCCTCTTCAGCTCCTTCCCATTGAACTTCCACACAAAGTTGGGCACTTTCTTGGAGAGGCGGATCTCAAATACAGCAGTCTGGCGCTCTGTCACCTTCACTGGCTGCATCTCTCCCAAGAACTTCAGCGGTTCATCTGCAGCAAAAAGTAGGAGGGCCAGTCATTGGACTGCAGCCCTGGTCTCTCCTGAGCAGTGGGATGATGAAGGGAACATAGAGACTGAGGTGTCATTGGCTTCCAGTAGCCCATAGTTGGGGAAAGTATCCTTCCTTTCATTCTGCTTGTAAATCCTCTCACAGTGTTTACATGATCTCCTCCCCTGGGAACTTAATGGCAATTTAAAAAGGCATTTGTTCAGTTTTAGATATGTGCCAGGAACTCTTCTAGCCAAAGTGCATATAGTAATGCATTCAATTCCCGCATAGGTAGATTCTACTATTGTTCCCCATTTTACAGATGGGGAAATGGAGGCAAAGAGAGGTTAAATAACTTGCCCTAAATCACACAGCTCATAGGTGACAGAAGCTGGGATTTGAATCCCAAGAGTCTAATTCCAGAGATTGTACTCTTAACCACTATGCTACACTGGCCCATGGCACTTATGATCACATAGTCCTCTCCCTAACACCACTTGTCTCCCTGTTACATGAACTCCCATTCCCATGCCCACACTCATACCCAGCACTCTGAGCTCTGCAGTCATCCACTTGTCACCCACAGTCAGGCTGTAGATGCCTGTGTCGTTCATATTCACGTTGGTAATGACCAGCATGTACTTGGTGCCCACCTGCTTCACAACATACTTGCCCAGGGAGTACTGGATCCTCAGTGGCTCAGTACCCTGATATATGAAACAGGTAGAAAAGCTGATGAAGTGGTTTAGGAGACTTTCAGAGGTCCCCATTTCCCAAGGCCAGTCTGAACTGGAAGACTGCCATGTCTACCTCTTTAAGCACCTAAAACACTCCCAGAGGCCCATAAGATCTCTCTAGCCTCATCCTCTGGCTCATTGGGATCCAGGGGCCCTGCCTTCCCGAAGGCCCAAACTCTTACTATGATGAGTTTATTTGATGCTTTCTCTTTGAGGCACAAAGACCTCCAGGACCATCTAATCCAGTCTTTTCAGATGGGTAGACTGAGGCATAGAGGAAAGCAAATGTCTCAAATTAAGCAGCAAAGTGGTAGAGCAGCTAAGAATAGAACCCAACTCCCAGCCAATTTTAACCACATTAGGTGGCATTCTCTTGATGGGATGGAAGAAAGGATATGGCTGATGGAAAATGAGAGGGTCTGTGAAGGGAGGGGATGCAGAGAGGAAATGATATTGAAGAGTGGGCCCTGACTAGGTGCTCCCCACCTTGACCAATGTCATCTTGGTATTGGGGTCCTTCAGCTCCATGATTCACTCAAAGATCACTGTGGTGTCAATCTTGGTCTCTATGTCTTCCAGTCTTTTCAGAATCCGGATGGCCTGAGAGATTGGGATAACAAAATGGCAGTGTCAAGGGTGCCTGAAGCCTGCCTAGTTTGTGGCCTCAATCCTGGAGGAGCTCCCCAAGAGCCTGGGAGAAATGACTTGAATGATTAGATAGCTTGCTTCCCCTAACTCCTGCAGCTGATCAACTGGAGGATTTAGGGGAAGACAGATAAGCTAGCCAGGGATGAGAAAAGCAAATATGATGTAAAGCAGATGAGCACCCTTTGCAGGTCTGTTACTATGGACCTGGATCCATTTCATAGATTTTTCTAATTCCATTGTAGGTGAGTAATAATGGCAAGTTGGTTGAGTAAATGAATGAAAACAACACAAAAACAAATGAAAGCGAAAGTATAGTTTTCATTTGGTAGATGAGGACACTGAGGTTCAGAGAGATGCCCATGTCCAGTTAAAAAAACAGAACTGGAATTTGAACCTAGGTCTGTCTGACTCCAAGTCCATGCAAGTATATTAGGGAGTGAAGAGAGGAGAGGTAGATGGGAGGTGACTTGAGTGCCTTTTCTGCTTTTGTTATAAAGAATGCCTTTGAGTATGTGTGTGCAGGTCAGGAGACACAAAGGTGTTAGCCCTTTCGGTGAGACCCAGGCCCAGCCTGCAGACCCTGCCCCCATAGGCACTGACCTCCACTTCTACTTTTTTCATCTCTTTGAGCTTCTTGAGCAGCCCCCGAAGTCAGTGAAACCGTGCTCCATGCAGACCTTCTCAAAATCCTTCTCAGGCACGTTGGACAAAATCTCCAGCATCTCTTTCTCATCTGTCACTTTCTTCTGCTGCTTCTTGGGAGCAGGGGCAGACCTGGGAGGAGGTAGGGACCGAGTTTGGACTCAGCAACTTCCTCTGAAGACAGAGGGAGCTCCTCCTAACCTTGAGATACCCTCCACACTCCATGGATTCTTGGAGCAAGGGCCATTAAATCAAAGCCTTGTTGAAACACCTTCAAGAAGCTCTAGCCTGGAGGATGGGGGTCAGTACCCTAGGCAGAGGAGCCTTTCAATCTCACCTCTTTTTCAACATCTTTTTGAAATCCATTTTTTCTTGACCTGAGGACAGAGAGAGGGACAGGGTCAGGCAGGGGAATTTGGTTCTTTTTAAAAAAAATATATTTTATTGATTTTACACAGAGAGGAATTGAGAGGGATAGAGAGTTAGAAACATTGATGAGAGAGAAACATCGACCAGCTGCCTCTTGCACACCCCCCACTGGGGATGTGCCCGCAACCAAGGTACATGTCCTTGACCGGAATCGAACCCGGGACCTTTCACTCCGCAGGCCGATACTCTATCCACTGAGCCAAACCGATTTCGGCTGGAAATTTGGTTCTTAATGAGAAAGACCAGGAGGAGGAGGTTGACTCACCCTCTGTCACCTGCAAGGACACGGTATAGATGGCGTCTGCATGGTCATTGCTTGCAATGCACTTGTAGTTGTCAGAGCCATCCGAGGTCAGTGGCTCCAGCTGGTTCGGAATCAGGCCATTAGTAAGGAGCAGGGGAGGGGACCATAGGGAGACTTTCTGGAAGAAAGGAGGACATATTTGGGGGCTGGGGCTGAGTGTTGGGGGTGTATGTGCGGAGGATTGAACAGCCTCTATGATTTGGAGGTAGCAGTCAGTGTGAGTTTCTATGTTTGTAGCCTGATTCTGCACGGACTCTCTCCCTTGGTGGTGAGCTCCTGGAACACAGACTTCCTCTGGGTTGTAATTCTATCTGCAGCTTCTGGCACAGGGCTAAGAACTCCTTTCTTTAACATATAATTACTCCCCTGTACCAGGGGCCGAGCCCCTGAGGAAGTAGCGGTGAGTAAGACTGTTTTGGGCCTATAGCGTGGTATTTACAGCTTAGTGGAGCTCTCAGAAAGGGTTTGCTGAGTGAATGAGTTTGTGCAAGGGTTGGCAAATAGGGGACTCTGGGTCTTTCTGAGGAGAAGGAACCAACTTTGGTTTTTGGGAGAGCAGCGAGGCTCTTTGCTTTTCACAGTGGAAGTTGGGGGCAGGACCAGTTGGGACAGGAGTAATTATAGGCCTAGGTCTCCTAGGAATCCATCTCTCCAGACTAGAGGTTGCAGAAGCTGGTTAGACCTAAGAATTACCAGCCCCTGGCAAGACTCTTCTGGAAGACTCTCCTGAAAAGCCCAGGAACCCTACCCGCATTCCCATTCTATGACCAGCCCCTCTGCCCATCCCTCCACTCAGCCTCCCTCTACTCACTATGGTCCTGCCCCTTTGGAACACTCCTTCTTTTCCATTTGTGCTAGCCCCCTTCCTGGTTTTGCCTTTGTTCTGGCTCTGCCTTGTCTCCCCCTGCCCCTCCCCTACAGTTTGGTCCCTTGCTCACTCTGGGAAGGCCCTAGCTCCTGACTGGCCTCTCTCTCTCTCTTTTTAAAAAAAAAATTTTTTTATTGATTTTTTACAGAGAAGAAGGGAGAGAGAGAGCTAGAAACGTTGATAAGAAAGAAACATCAACCAGCTGCCTCTTGCATACCCCCTACAGGGGATGTGCCCGCAACCAATGTACATGCCCTTGACCGGAATCGAACCCAGGACCTTTCAGTCCGCAGACCTACGCTCTACCACTGAGCCAAACCGGTTTCAGCCTGACTGGCCTCTCTTATCCTGCCCCTCCTCTAGGGTAACGACAGCCTCTTTTCCCACCTCCCAGCTCTGGGGTCTCGCTGTGACTGTCTTGTGGGTGAGAGGACCCACGGCTCCCTGGAGTAGGGTACCCCCCTCTGGCCTCCCGGGTAACTGGATCTCAGGCGGGGCCCCGAACCTTCAGCATGTGCTCCTTGTTAATGCTGTCTTAGAACATCTTGGCAGACTCCTTGATGGGGAAGCCACTTTCCCACTGCCAGGAGATGTTCGGCTTGGGGTTCCCCTGCACCTGGGCTTGGACACAGCTTTATCCCCTGCAGCAGGCACAGGATGCATGTTCACCTGGTAGCCTCCAGGCTGCACCTGCTGCTTGCTCCCTGCCTCCTCCCAAGCATCTCACTCCAGCCCAGGCAGGAGGAGGAGCCTTGGCCTGGCTCTGACAGTGTTTGTATGTGGTGTTGATGGTGGTGGTGAGGTGGCTGGATTTATGGAAAAGAAAGGGAAGCACCTATGAGCATGGGGAGAGATGGGATGGGGTCAACGTACCCTCAGGCGCAGTGACTGGCTGAGGCTTCTCCACGAACTCAGGGATGCTCTCGCCCTCAGGGATGTTGGAACTCCGAGTCACCAAACTGAAGAACTGAACAGTGCTCGACGAGGACGACTTAGTCATGACTTCCTTTGTGGTAGAGAGGTCAGAATGAACTCCAGGCAAAGCTCAGGCTGGTCTTAGAGAACTGGCCTTTTGTTTGAGGGGATGGTGGGATACGTCAGGCCAGTGCCAGCAGACCAGCTTTTACCAAGTAAGGAGGCCCTCAGAGCCTGGAGTCATTGTACTATGGCACATTTCAACCACTAGGGGGAGCCAATTTCTCTCCCATCCCTCAATGGCCAATCACCCTTTTTGAGCCACCTCCTGAGTACTTTTTTTTTTTTTTTAAGGAGACTTCTTTTTTGGGAATTTTTTTTTTCTTTCTTTTTCTTCTTTTTCTTCCTTTTTTAAAAAAAAATATATATATATATATATATATTTTATTGATTTTTTACAGAGAGGAAGGGAGAAAGACAGAGAGTTAGAAACATCAATTAGCTGCCTCCTGCACACCTCCCACTGGGGATGTGTCCGCAACCAAGGTACATGCCCTTGACCGGAATCAAACCTGGGACCTTTCAGTCCACAGGCCGATGCTCTAGCCACTGAGCCAAACTGGTTAGGGCTTTTGGGAATTTCTTAATCTCTTGTGACTGATTCCTGGAAATCCTAGTTCCCCAGTAGCATGAGGAGGGGCTGGGCTTGCTCCCGCTTGCGAGGCCTTGTAGCTTAGCTGAGCTCTGCTGTGGGCCTTCCCCCTGCCCTCCCGTGGTTCAGCCTTCCCCTTGCCCTCCTGTGGTTCAGCCTTCATTGCCATGGAGTAGGGATTCCTGACTGAGGAATATTCCTGACAGGAGATATTCCCAGTCCAGTGGGACTACATATGGGAATCTCACATCTGAAAGAACATATTCAATGTGATAATATAATTTTACATTTGGGGAAACAAGTTGTTTTTTCAATATTAACTACACAAAATCTTATTGGCTTAGTGAGTTAATGACAATTGCTCTGAATCACGGTTCCTTTTCCTTGTCAGGAACTGTGCTAAGCACATTTCATAAATTATTTTATTTCATCCTCATAGTGACCCGGTGAAGGAGGTGCCTGTATTATTCCCACCAAGCTGAACGACGGAGGAGAGAAAAATGTGTTAAGAAGCCCCGTTGCCTGCTGTTCACTGGTGTCAGAGGTCTCAAACGAGAGTGTGCAGTCTGCACCCAGTCCGTATATGTCTCATTTGACCTCCACAATGTTTAAACAAAAAGTATCCCTATATCTAAAAATTGTGAGATTTCATAGAAGTTCAGGTTTCTGGATTCTTGTATTTCCATACGGTAACAATTAGTGGGAGGTGAATATGGCTGCCCCTTTCGATGGGGTATGTCCTCTCAAGTTGACCTCAGTCTCTTTCATGCATTTATGTTCCCTGCCTGGACCTTGAGGGTCAGTGGTTTTAAACTCTGGCCACATATTAGAATCTCTGAGAGTTTTAAAAACAAACAGCTGGTTTAACAGTTGGGTGAGGCTCAGGTATTGCTATGCTTTTTACTCCTCTCCCTCTCGTGCCCACACTAAGATGACTCTATCTCCAGCCAGTGCTGATAATCCCTGCTGTCATCACTTGAACTTGCAACTTCTGCCCTCAAGTCCCCGTCTCCTCTTTGCTCTGCGTCACTGACCAGGAGGGGGTGGTGTAGCATGTTTATCTGGCTTTGACCTCTGCGCGCAGAGGACTCTGAAGGACGGCCTGTCCAGGACTTGGAGGGAGGAGCAATGGCTGAGAGGATGGGGATTCAATATCCTGGCCCCTGGCCATTTCCTAATCACTTTTCTCTAGAGACATGACTCAAACAATCTGTTTTGGTCTGAGACCATTTCTCAGCTTTTCCTTGGATCTGTCCTCCCCAGGTCTGGTCCCCAAGGGCTGAGAGCCTGGAAGCTTAGGTCACTTGTTTGGCTGTTTGTCCTCTCTTGGCTGGCAGCTCAAAGCCTTCTATCTCTTAAGTGGAACAGGGTCAGCATTACTCATATGTAGATAAGGTGGCAGCCTCCCTAACTCCCTCCATGCTGAAATTCTACCTTCAGGGATGCATGTGTTCGCCTATGGCTCTGATCTCCTCAAGTAATTAAGAGTTCACCATGCCCTGACTGGTTTGGTTCAGTGGATAGAGCGTCGGCCTGCGGACTGAAGGGTTCCAGGTTCGATTCCGGTCAAGGGCATGCACCTTGGTTGCAGGCACATCCCCAGTGGGGGTGTGTGCAAGAGGCAGCTGATTGATATTTCTCTCTCATCAATGTTTCTAACTCTCTATCCCTCTCCCTTCCGCTCTGTAAAAAAAACAATAAAAATATATTTAAAAAAAAAAAAGAGTTCATCAGTCACACACAAAGCTACAAGATTGATTTTTTTGTAAACTGTTTTCCTGGAGAGTTGATCTGTGGGTGAACATAGGGCTGGCCAAGGCTTTATCAAAGCACAGATTAGAAGAACAGGTTAGGAGAGAGTTGCTCTTGGTATTGCAAATACTGAGGCCACGGCAGGGGGTAGATGTGGAGGAAGAAAGGCTGCCCCTTCCCACTCCCCCCTACCCCACCGGCCCCCATTCTACTTGCCTCCCACAATCTTGGTTGTCTGGGAGAAGGTCTGCATGTGGGTGGAGGAGCTGGAGAACTCCATGGACTCTGCATCATCTGCTGATGGTGAATGGTTGTCATGGTGATAGCAGGCGTGGGCACTCACCTGGGAGGACAGGCAGAGGATGAGGCCATGAAGGACAAGGAAGAAAGTAGGAGGGAGATTCAGAGATTGTGTGTGTGTGTGTGTGTGTGTATGTGTGTGTGTGTATGTGTGTGTGTGTGTAGAGGGCAGGTGGACACAGTGGGTGAGAGGCAATACGCCTTTTCTATCTGGCCTCTATCTTCTCCTCTTTGTATCTCACTTTCCCAGCCTGGCTACAAGGACCAAATAGGCTTGTCCTCCACTGAGTAATCCCAAACCATTCCAGGTTCTGGGAGGAGAGGAGGTAGGGCTTAGGTTTATCCTGCAATCCAAGGAAGGCCCAAGGCACCGAGGATACCGATGGACAGCTACATGGAACTAGGGAGTTAATGACAGGCAACGGGGCTGGAGGTTTCAACAGGAGGAATGAAGTCAGATCTAAGAAGGAACTTCCTGACTAAGCCACCCTGGAGTGGTCTTGGAAGGAAGCTGTGGATTTCTTCCTGGGCCTTGGGGCCCCTGGCCCTGGTGGAAGGCCAAGACAGATGACAGCTCATTATTCCAGCTCTTTCTTTTGTGACATAGAAAAGGACAGAGTTGATTTCATATAGTTTTAAAAAACATTGGCACTCCAATCACATAGTTGAAAAACAATATAAACATCTTGGTGAAGAGGCGCCCTTCCATCTCACAACCCTCCCCCAACAGGTAAGCACTGGTGGTCTCTAGGCTCCTTCATGAAAACAGGAATGTCTTTGCCCTTGTCCCCCCCTTTTTTTACGTGTAAGGTAGCCTATTATACACACTATTCCTTCCCTTCCTTTTTCATTTCATACATCTTGGAGGTCCCTCCATATCAGTCCATAGTTTCCTCCATATCAGTCCATAGTTAATAGCCACATGGTATTTCATCTGACCAGCATGGCAGTTTCTAAACCCCTGCTTTGCAAACGAGGAAACTGATGAACTTGTCCAAGGTCACTCAGACTGGAATCCTGGCCTCCTACTCCCAGTCCAGAGCCCTTCCAGGGGATCCCAAAGCCCTGTTCTGAATCAGGCAGTTCAAGGCCAAACTTTATCTCCCCGCCCACCCCCACCATGATCTCTCTCAGCCTGTCCTTTCTCCTTCTAGCTTCAAGACCACCTCTGTCCCAGCTCCTGAGGTCCCTCTCAGCTCAGGAGGTAGCTTCTGCCCCTTCTTGAGGGATGAGGGAAGTCTTACCTTCGTATGACCAGTCCCTCCTCATCCTCAAACGCTGTGTCCAGGGCTTTGGAGGAGCAGCTAGTGCCCGGGTGGTAGAATGGCCAGTCTCCTCCTTCCGTTGCCTTAATAGTGAGGCCGCCAGGAGTCACCGGTTCCTTAAATGTCTGGCCCCTGGGGGCTATCCCTTACTCAGGCTCAGCAACTGCCCCAGCTGACACACTGCTTTTGGGGGGGGATGGAGTGGGAAGAGGAAGAGGCGCCAAGGCTGCAGGAAATGCTGGGCATGGGTGGGCAGGGGCTGAGGACGGTGGTCTAGGGGTACTTTACCTGTTCCTTTGCGGCAGAGGTTTTGCTTCTCACTGCTGCTGCGTGGGAACTCTTTGAGCTGAGGGGCTCAGTGTGTGTGTGTGTGTGTGTGTGTGTGTGTGTGTGTGTGTGTGTGTGTGTATGAGCACATGGACAGTCCAATGGGAAGATCAAGGCGGTCTGCTATTTTGCACAAGTCCAGGAAATACCATTCATCTATGTATGGTGCCTGCACAGCCTGTTAGCCTTCCTCCCTCTTGCCACTCCTGCAGCCCAATCCCCCAACTTGAAGGGCAGGAGGTCCATCCCCCTGTGGGAGGGTGGCTGGACACCAGGCCCCTACCCCTGACCTCCGTCCCAGCTGTTCAAGCCCCTCCTCATTCTGTTCTCACTGTCTGTAGTCTACCTGCATGGCTAGACCCTTAACCAGCCCACACAAGGTCCTGGCACCTGGAAGGACCTGCTGGCTGATCAGCAGCCCTGCCCTGGGCCCCCTCCTGTCCGGAAATGACCCCTGCTTGCCAGCCATGGCATCACGGCTACTTTTGCTGCATCCCTGGGGGCAGGGGCAAGAATAGAACAGGAGTGTCCAGAACTTGAGCCCATGGGCAGATTCCCCAGGCCCACTGGGAGGGGTGACTCTCAAGTCCAGGCCTTAAAAGGAAAATTACCGGTTGCAGCTGCTGTTGGGACCTGTGGGGTTAGCATGGGATAACTGTGCTGGCCAGCAGGGAGGGGGTGGGGTGGTGACCTGAAAGTCCCCCGCCTAGCCTTGGCTCTTAAGGCCCATGTGTTGGAACTGGTGCCTGGCCAGCCACGTTGCCTTCTGTAGATGCCTGTCACACCTGTTCTTGAGGCTTCCCCTGTCCCAGGGCTTCTGGCTGGATCAGGGTGAGGGTGTGTGAGAATCCTGTCCAATGGACTTCTTTGGCTTTGTAGATCTGGATTCTCTCCATACTCCCAATCTCCACAAAGGGGTGTTGGGAGATGAACACACACACACACACACACACACACACACACACACACACGGAGGAGGAGGAGGAGGAGGAGGAGGAGGAGGAGGAGAAGGAGAAAGAGGAGTAGGAAGAGGAGGAAGGAGAAGGAGGAGGAGGAGATGACCAGTACTAGGAGGCAGGAAGTGGATGGGAGAGGCAATCACAGACCCAGGAGGCTAGTTTTGCTCAAAATGCTCTGTTTATTGCTCTATTCAATGACCACGAGCAAATTATAAAAAGACACCAAATGTCTTTGTCTGCCGTGGAATAAATATTTAAAGTCAGCAATAAAAACACGTGGCTCCAAGATAACACATGTTGCCGAAGAGTCATGCATACCCCGCTGATGGGCTCTCAACATACGCGTGGACACAGGAACACACGCAGAGCTGCACGCAGCAAGACTCCTGGGAAGGCTTCCCACGGTGACACAGGAAAATGTTTCCCACGGATCTGGGGCGAGTTCCCAGCCCGCCCTCGGAGCTCCCCCTCTCCCTCCCATCCCCACCAGGGCCCTTGTCCTCCGGGTGCACAGCCCCATCTGCCCCTTCCTCCCCAACACCTCGCAGGCCGGTCACTGCCTCCTGAGGACCTGTGACACCCACAGGCCACCCAGGAGCTTCCCACACCTGACCTCCAGGCCCTCCAGCCCTCCTCCCCACCCCGATCCCAATAACTGAGGGTGAAACGCGATCTGTCTGTTGGGAGAAGCAGGGTGGGGGCCAAGCCAGGCACCTCTGCCTGGGCTGCTTAGGGGCTGGAGCTCATGACCCCTATCCTAGGCTGAGGAGACACAGTGTCCGGTACAGAGAGCAGAGATGGATGGTCAGACAGAACACGCTGTTCGGGACACGTGGAATGCAGCACAAACATTTTGGATCAGGTAGCAATGGAACCATGGTTAAAACTGAGGCCCCAGGTCGGCGTGGTGTGGGTCGGGTCCTGGAGCCCCAGGCCTGGCCTGGCACGTCCCTCCCCCACCCTGCCCCACTCCCCAATATATACAGTAGGAATTGCTATGTTGGGGGCAAGGGCCAGCTGGAGAGAGGGAAGCAGGAGGGGCAGGGCAGGGAGCAGGCCAGGACCTGAGGCTGGGCCCTGGGGGTGAGGCTGGGGTAAGGGCCCAGCCTCAGGCTGGGTGGTGCCAGGAGGACCCCGGGGGAGCAGAGAGGTCACTCTGGGGACTGGCGGGACAGCTGCTTCTCATACAGGCTCATGACGTGATGCACAAACTGGTACTGCTCGCACGTCTGGATCATGCCGCCCCTGCCCGGCAGAGATGCACGGTAGGGAGGGGGTTGTGGAGGGATGGGCTGTGGGAGGTACCCCCAAACCCACGGAGGACCCATCACTCACCAGGGGCCTTGTTTTTGTGGAGGCTGGAAAGGCCAACCCTAGCCAGGCCAAGAGATCCCCTCAGCGCTTCCCTGTCCCTCCCAGCTCCGGTGCAGACAGCAGGGACAGAGATGGCACTCCCACCTGCTCCCAGCCTGTCCTGGCCACCCGCTGTTCCTCTCCCCTCTTCATCCAGCACCGCCTGTCCAGATCCAGCCCCTCCACTTATCCGACTTCCCTACCCCTTCAGCCAGCAGCCAGTCCGTACCCAGTGTGCCCTCCTGCCCCTCGCCCCTCGCACAGTTGGTCTCTCTCCACGTGCCCCACCCCGCCCGTGGGCTGACCTGTCCTGACGGAGCTGGCACGTGGTCTTCAGGATGTCCACCACACCCTCCTGCCGCAGCTGCTGGCAGCAGATGCTGGTGGCAATGAAGCAGCCGGTCCTCCCGATCCCTGCGCTGAGGGCCGAGGGGATGGGTGGGTGAGGAGGGGGGCAGCAGGGGTGGGTGGGTGGGCTGCCCTGCCCTGGCAGGTGGCTGGGAGGACCCACCTGCAGTGGACGATGATGGGGGCGCAGCGGGGCCCCTCCTGCTGGGCAGCCTCCTCCACCTCCTGCACCAGGTGCAGGAGCGGGGGCGCCCGGTCTGGGGTCTTCTGGTCGGGCCAGGACGTAAACCAGTAATGCTTCAGACCTCGCTCTTCTGTCCCACTCTGTCCGGGAGACAGAGGCCCACCCCAGAGACACGTGAGCTCTGTGAGCCCACAAAGCACAGAGACGGGGATGGGATGGGAGGAGGGAGAACACAGGCGGGAGAGGACACAGGGAGTGGGGCCTCTGGCCTCTGGCATAGACACCACATGGCCCAGTGGCACCAGACAGAGACCCAAAGCCAGCGTGGGTAGTGGCGGCTGGCCAGTGGAATCAGCATTGGTCCTCACACATCATCCAAGAGAGGCAAAGAGTCCCTTCTTCAGTTCATTCCTGCCTCCCAGTTTCTTATTGTAACAAACAGCCCGGTCACTCCTGCACCACATAACCAGAGCCCGGGGACCTTCCTCTGTCTTGCTGTGCTTGGTCTGACTTCCCCTCCACCTCTTTCTGGGGAAACAGGAAGCTGGTTCCTTGGGCCCTGGGCCATCTGGCAGGGAAAGCTCCGACAGCCTCTGTTCCCCACCCCTTCCTGGCCCTTCCTGCCCTCCAGCCAGCCTTGCATCTCGGAGCTGTTCAGGTGGGCACTGCCCTCTGGGAGCATCCTCTCCAGCGGGGAGGGGCCGCTCAGAGGAACAGATCTCAGGCTTTGAGAGGGACCTTGTGACTGTCAGCATCACCGGACTTTCCAATCTATCAGCTTCCTGGTGCCTGGTTCTCCCCTTCCAGTCTTTGGGGCTCTGTCATTTCTTAAAGAGAGAACCCACTGATCCTCCTGACTCCAAATGAACAGTCTGTTCTCTTATGCTGCTCCTGAAAGAAGCACAACTTCAGGGTGGGAGGATACCTTCCCCCACTCTTCTGGGCTGTTTCCTATTGCTCATATTTTGTGTCTTTCCGTGCCCCGCTCCCCCTCACTATTTTTTTTTTTTTAGTCACAACTTCCTCCTGCAACCCAAATGCAGCAAGGAGTGTCTACCCTCTGGTGGACAGATTGGGTACTACAGGCCAGAAGGCCTGTATCCCAGGTGAAGGGAGGGGGCTTTGAGCAGGGATCTTGAAAGTCACCATGGTCATTCAGTTATAAGGACAGTGCTGAAGGCAGCAGGCGACCCCTTGCCCAGACGGTCCTGGATTTGGGTGCATGTGAAGCAGAGCTGGAGGAAATAAGAATAACTGTGTAGACACACAGAGAGCCCAAAGGCATAACATACGACAGGTTTGGTCCCGCTTCTGTCCCCCCAGGGTCCATTCAGCTCTTCCTTATCCCTTGCTCACAAGTAATTCCTGGGAGGCACAGGACTTGATTTCGGCTAGAGTGGACTGTGGGACCTGTTCTGTGGCATCCTCAACAAAGCCTTGCCCCCCAGCAGCCCCGCCCCAGGCCTCACCCTGAGGGAGATGAGTCGCAGCCGGTAATCCTCCGTGTGGATGACTTCCCGCACGGTGATCTCCACACCATCATAGACCACCTGCTCCTCCGGCCAGTACTCGGTGCACTTCTGTGGGGCCAACATCAGGCTGCGATCCACTCCCAGTTTCCCAACCATGCTCGCCCGCCAGGGCCAGCCAGGAGAGAGAGAAGGTGGCCATAGGTTTGCAGTTAGACAGTACTGGGTTTAAAACTCAGCCTCATAACCTTTAGGTTACCTCTGTTTCTGAGCCTCAGTTACCTTATGTGCAAAATGGGAGTCATATCCATCTTGAAGGACTTTCCTAGGGGGTCAGTTAAATGAGCTGTTAGGAGTATGAAAGTAGCCTGCGTCAGCCCTGGCAGCCTAGGAGGCAGCAGAGCATTCTGCTTAAGATCCGGGGCACTGGAGGTAGAGAAGCCAGCTCCAGACTCTGCCTCTGACTGCTGGTGTGGCTCTGAGCAAGTGACTTAACCTCGCTGAGCCTCCTACTTCCTCACCTTGACTGTGGAGGGAGCCCTAGCAACCTCACAAGGTTGTTGTAAGACTATGGAAGCAAGAGGCTTTCGGCACGAAGCTGCAGACGCCTGGGGATGGTGCAGGGGCGCCTACCTCGTTCATCTCCTCGATGTTGGTGATCATGACAATGATGGGTGTGTGCTCCTGCCACACCATGTGCCAGAAGTCGCCAACCGTGCTGACGATGGGTCCCTGAGTGGCAATGTACACCTTCTCCTCCCCACCGTAGCCCTGTGGCCAGCCAAGTCCAGGCTGTCAGGGTCAGAGGCAACGTTCCTGGGGCCCAGCCCTCAAGCTCAGGCTCTTCCCGGGGCTGGCAGCAGCGCACTGGCTGAGGGACAAGCCCTCTGGAGGATGGGTCCCACCAGCTTGGGCCTCCTTTTTCAGGGAAAGGGGGTTAGGATGAGGCTACATACCCGGATGTAGTTGGCGTTGATATAGGAACTCAGAGGGTCGTCAGGATCTGGTGAAGTCAGACACACTCTGCTGTGAGGGTCTGGGGTGGGAGAGACAGGTGAGGCTGGGATCGGACGTGTGCAGTCCCCCTGGGCAGGGCCCACCTGACCTGGCCCATTCAGGACACCCACATTTCTTTTGAGACTCTAAATTCCTCCTCCCCCTGCCTGGTAGCAAAACATTCACCCTTCCCCACGGTCCAGTGAGGCAGGCGAGGCCCAGGCTGAAGAGGAGGGTTGAGTGTGAGGTCCTGGGTCTCTACCTCCGTGGCATCCATGCCGGCCCCTTGCCCCGGCCCCTGCAGCTGCCCTGGATTCACTGTGCCTAACGTTCTAGGGAGAAGAAAGCTAAGCAGAGAAAGGAGTTATCCGGGGCACACATGCTGGACAGCGGAGGTAGCGAGAGTTTGAATATAGACTCTCACCAACGTGCTGAGTATGCTTGTAAAGCATGTGGCCTTTCTAAGCCTCAGTTTTCCTCTCTGTAATATGGGGGTAAAGATACCGACTTCCTAGGTTTGTTGGGGAGACAGAGGAGAAAACAGCCGTGAACGTGCTAAGTAAAGTGCTTTATAGCTACCAAGGGCTGTTCAGACTTGGGGGATGAAAGCTGAGGAAGACTACTGGAATAAGAGGAGTAAAACCTTCCACACCTGAGTTGAGACTAGGGTCGCCCCAGCAGACACGTGTGCACAAAGGATTAGTCCCCCCACCCCCCCTTTCAATCCAGTCACATGTCAAATCGCATGATACAGGTTTCTCATAACATCCTGCTCTTCTTCCTGGGGTAGAATCTGTTTTAGTCCCGCTAGCGCCTCCCTGCACTGCCGGCTCTGTCAGCCTGCGGAGGCTGGGTCTGAGGTGGAGACGTGAGTGGGGTGGGCAGGGAGCTGGCTGGGGCCCCAGGTCCTGGCTGTGGTCTAGCTCTGTCACCAGGTCACGGTCTTTTCTCTGGGCCTCGGTTTCTCTCCTGGACTAAGGTAATTCAGGTGTGCACAGCACGGGGAATGGTTAAGAGTCCGCACCACTGAGCCAGACAACCTGGGTTCAAATCCTGCCTCTTACTTATTAGCTGTGCCAACGTGGGCCATGTATGTAAGCTCCCTGTGCCCTTTCTGCAAACTGGGCATCCCTTTCATCACAGCCTTACTACCCTTGTAGAGGCTAAAGGAGTCTCAGACCAGTAGCTTAGCCCAGCATGCCGAAAACACCAGGCAGTAGAAGTTGCTGCCAGTATTACCGCCGTCGTTACACAGGTTGCCATAGTTGACAGGTGAAAAAAGAAGGATGCCAAGCGGCAGGAGATGCCTCAGCCGCAGTGCCTGAGGCTTTGGTGGGTGATTTGGGGGTAGGAGCAGGTGGGGAAGGGGCAGCTCTGTGGACAGAGGCGTAGCAGGGTGTCCGGAGTGGAGAAGAGCATGGGTAAGCCGAGGGGGGCGCTGACTAAGCAGCAGGAGAGAGGAGCAGGGTGCTCTGCATGCGCCATCTCCCTCCCCCTTGTCAGCGGTGCCCACATTAGGTGCCCAGACACCAGGGTCTTTGGTATTAAAGAACCACGGTGGGAATGGGAATGGGAATGGGAATGGTCCTTTTAACACTACTGTGCCTGGCACTGTGCTTGAGAGTAAAAACTCCAAGATAAACAAGACATCATCCCTGCTCCTGAGTGTTGGGCAGGCAGACAAGCAGTGTGTGGCCTTGGCTTCCTGGCACAGGGGCACCTAAATGAGGTGTGAGGGACCAGGAGGAGGAGGAGGAAGAAGAAAAGGAAGAGGAGGAGGGCACGCCATTCAGTCTGATTCAAGTGCCCAGGGAAGGGCGGGCTGCTAAGAGACGAGTTGGGGAGGAATCTGTTGATTAAGGGTCTCATAAGCCGTGAGGATCAGCCTGGACCCAAACCCGAGGATTACAGGGTGATGTGACAGCGTTGCAGGAGGAGAAAGACGACTGGATTTTGGTGACATTGATAGGAGATGGACAGGAGGGTAGGGTGTGGGTGTCAGACCAGTGAGAAGATGACTGCAATGATCCAAGGGAGACGTGTCTGGGGTCAGAGGGCTGCCCTGCTCTGCACAGCTCCAGGGGCATTCATTGTCAATGCAGTCGGTGTCCATGGCACCCTCCGAAACTGGGCAACTGCCCCCTCTCCCTAAAAAGTTACCTGGCCGTGAGAATGGAGAAGGGGCACTAGATTCGAGACAGCCATTCTTCCATTCACTCACTCACTCACTCATCCGCCCATTCATTCACTCACAGAGGTGCAGAGTGGCTACCATGTGCCAGGCACCCTTGGCGCTTGGAACACAGTGGCCAAATGGACAGAAATCGCTCCCCTGCATCTTGCTCTTAGTGCTGCTGGCCACTCTGTGCTGTCACTGTCCACAGCTCTGCCTCTCCCATCCGCTTGGGAGCCTCCTTTGTCCAGGCTGTGTCTCATTCATGCCTGAATTCTCAGCTCTGGGGGCAGGGGCTCAGGAAACACTAGCAGAATGAGCTCGAGAACAAACCTCAGGGCGTCCTGGACCTGAGAGGGGACCTCTGCCAAGACTGCCCTGCCCTCTGTCACTGACCCCACCTCCTCAGCCTCAGCCCAGCCTCTGAGGGCACAGGGTCAGTTCTTGCTGTCCACAGAGAACATCCTCTTTTGGCTTGGAGGCCTGGAGGCTCAGCGCGGCTTAAAGCCTCTGAGTAACCCAGTGCCAGGTGGGGTGACGGACTGAGTCCCGCCCTCCCAGCGGCCACTCTGCACCGCCAGCGAAGGCCTAGGTTCTGGGGTACATGAGCCCCTCCCTCCAGGTGGGGCGAGGTGGGAGTGGGAAGAGCAGGACAGGGAAGAAAGAGGTGAGCAGCCCCGAGCGGTGCCTCCTGGCCTTACATGGTGCTTTGTTTAACCGGAACCACCTAGAGGCTGTGTAACCATAGCAACCACAAGTCGATATTTTTTAAAAGTTAAAAATAAGTCATGACATCTTACATGTTGTTGGAGATGCTGATGGCAAAACTGCCTTTTTTTAAGCCTTGTCACTCCATAAACGGAGTAGAGTAGGTTTGTGGGGATTCACTTTCAAACAAGTCAACCCTCCGAGCTAGCCCTGGGGCCTGGGGCCAGAACCAGGCGGGGTGAAGCGCGGACAGGGGCTGCATTGAAGTTACCTGAACGTGGCACCCAGGGCTGAAAGAGAAACCGTAGGCCACCTGGTCTCACCACCCCCCAGAGAGGGAGAATCCTTATCAGACCCTCAGGGACAGCTCACACAGCCTTGTTTGAACACCTTCATTGGGGGCACCGACCCCCAGACAGGCGGGCGGCTCACTCCCTTGTGGATTCGCTCTGCCCAGTAGAGGATGCACAATGTGGACAAAATAAACTCGGGATGGACAAAAGGGCCTAATTCTGGGGTCCCGGAGACCTGGTTTGACACTCAGTTCTGTGTGACTGTGGATGAGCCACTTAACCTCTCTGAGCCCTAATCGCCTCTCCTTAAAACCTGCTGGCTCTGAAGAGCCCAAGGATGCGAGAACGCCCCGCTGACCCCATGCACTGGGTAGGTGTCGTCACCCTTTCTGGGTTTCCGCAGAGCCCAGCACAACGCCTGGCCACGCTAAGGGTCCGAAGGGTGCGTGTGAAGGAATGAATTAGCCTCTGCCCTCAGGAGGGGGTGTTTCTCTTCACTGGGCACCGCCCCTCTCCATCCCTCCTCATGACCCTGGAGGCCCAGCTCTGGGTTAAGGTCTTCCTCAGGATGAGGGGACACCCAGGGGAAGGTGAGCCCCCCTCCCCCGCCCCCCGCAGCCCCTTTACCCCCAGGGCACCGGGTACTCACTGGGAAGGATGGTTTTGTACCGGTTCTTCCGTACCAGCCCAGGGATGTCATACTCTTTCGGATCCACAAAGTTCATGGGGATTTCCTGCGGGAGGAAGGACATGGGAGTGTGAGCAGCCAGCCGTGGGCTGATTCTCAGAGATGCTTGAATCCAGGGGTTGCTGTGTCCCAACTTCTAGTCCAGGGGCTGGCTTGAGAGCATGCATTCCTTCCACATTTATTATTAAACGAGTTCCTGCACACATAAAACGCAATTAAAACACTGTTGGGCACGCAGCAAGTACATAAACATGTTATTATTACTACTGTCTACGGAGGGACAGTCTGGCACAGAGCAGACACTAAATAAATGGTCAACAAACAAGAACAAGAGTTTGAAAAGCAATCTGGCCAGTCGCCAGCATCTCCCACACGCCCCATGCTGCAGCCACACTGAGCGGCTTTGTCGATCTGTGTTCCCACCCTGGACATCCCACGCCCGGGACCTCGGGTTGTGCTGCTCACTCTGTGCCTCGACCGATTCTCATCTTCTCATGTCCTTCCTGTCCGTCATCAATGCCACCTTCTCCAAGAAGCCCCCTCTGATTCTCTAGCAGGCGGGGAGCCTCCTGAGTCATTCTGTGTTAAGAGCTCCCAGGCTGGGCTTCTCTGCCTGGAAGATGAGGTCCTCTGGGGCCTGGCCTTTCTTTACCACCAGCTGCTTTCAAGATTCCCATCCTTCAGTTACGCCCGCTCCTTCTTGTTGCTAAGATGCCATTCTCCATCTTGCCTCCAGGTCTGAGCGCGTGGCATTTTCCACTTGCAAGGAGCACCCCTCTTCAGTGCTCCATCATTCCCACTCTCTAAGGTTCCCCTCTAGCCTCACTCCCCACCCCACGTCCTCAGGGATGACTCCCCAGTGCTCCTCACTTCTTCACTCCCCTTCTATCCACCCACACACAAGATCCTACAGTGTTCACTGTGTTTGGACCCACTAAGAACGCTCTTTGTAAAAACGAGGATCATAATACTTTCTAGCGTTGTTGTGAGACTCAAAAAAAGAATAAAAACATGTGTGAACGCGCTGTGGGGTGGGTGTGTAGGCTGTGTTCCTTTCTCTGGGCAAGATCAACAACCATCTACTGAACAAGAAGTGCTGAGAGGACACAAGTCCCCTTCAAGGGGAGGTGATGGCGGTGGGAACTCGGGGTGGGATCAGGGGTGGGATCGTCCATGAAGGCTTTCTAGAGGCATCAGTGGGGAGATGATGTGCAAAAAGGTCCTGGAGGAGAAAGACATGGGGGTGGAGGGTGTTGGACAGTCCCTGCAGGGGCTGGAGGACGTAAGGTTAGAAAAGGGGCCTGGGGCTAGCCCAACTCGGGGAATGCAGCCATGCCAAGCTCTGCAGAGTTTTGAGCAGAGGGTCACAAGGTGATGGAGGCCTTCTTAGAGAGTCACAGGGAGCAGGAGGCTGGTGTGTGTGTGTGAGGGAGGCACATCGGTTCCCCATCCCCCTGGCTTCTCCCAGGACAGACTCTCCTCAAACACTCGTGGCCCCTCGCCCATCCTGCCCACAGAGGTGGGCAAGTAGCCAGATGGGTGCGCTTGACTGAGGAATGGGCTTTTGGGTCCCAGCCTCCTCCTTCCTCCTCCTCTTGGGCCCTCCTGCCAGGAAAGAATTATAGGGATGCCCCATGGGGTGGGTAGAAAGTTTAAATCTGGGGGTATTAGGAAGCTCACTATTGCTACATACTTAAGCCTCATTTAAAACCTCGTCTTCACCAACGAAAATAAAGAGGATGCTGTGATCTTCTAGGACTTAGCTCTTAACTGGCTGAGGCAGGTAAAACAGGGGTGGCATTTACTGGGTCCCTCAGAGTCCAATAGGAGGCAGCTGCAGGCTGTCGCACACGTCTAGAGAGGAGGTGATTAGACTCTCCTAAGCTACAGCTACAGACAGGGGTAGAAAGATGTCAGAGGGGCACGACCAAGGTGTGGTGATGTCGGGCAGGAGGAAGGTGGGAAAGTAGCAGCCAGAGGGCGGGCTTTCTAGAGCTTTCAAAGCACAGGGCTAGCCCTAGCCAGCTTGGCTCAGTGGACAGAGCATCGGCTACTGGACCAAAGAGTCCTGGATTTGATTCTGGTCATGGACACCTATCTCCTCGGTTGCAGGCTCCTCCCCGGCCCATGCCCTGGTCAGGGTGCATGCAGGAGGCAACCAATCGATATGTTTCTCTCACATGGATATTTCTCTCTTCCACTCTCTCTAAAAATCAATGGAAAAATATCCTAGGGCGAGAATTAAAAAGAAAAAAAAGCAAAAAAAAAAAAAGCACAGGGCTGAGCACTGAAGACTCAGGAATGCCACTGGACACCAATCACCTGGATGAGCGCTTTGCACACCTTCGTGATCCCTTTCACCCTTGCAACATCCCCACTTTCCAGATGAGGAAACTGAGGCCCAGAGGGGAAGCAGTTTGCCCGAGACACGAGGAGAACGGATAACCCAATGGTGTTCATCTATCAGATGTTGAGTTCTGGGCACCCCAGTCCAGTGCCCTGCTAGTGAGGCGACTGACCGAGTGGAGGGGTCTGTCCACCAAGGGGCAGCGGGCTCAGGGGACTCACAAAGAACTCCGCCTGCAGCAGGAAGGGGTCCAGGGCCTTTTCGTGGAGCTCCTCGGCCTGCAGGACGCGGGAGGCGCTGAGCAGGTACTCCCGGGCTGACTCCTCGCGTGGGGACATGAGGTAGCCGAAGCCCTCCTCATTGCAGCCGGGCGTGCACATGTCCAGGGTCAGGGAGACGTTGGAGCCCCTCCTGGAAGGACCGAGAAAGGGGAGGTGAGTCAGGAAGGGGCATCAGCTTGGGGCTTGGAGCGGGAAGACGAGGGACAGAGAGACGGGGGGGGGGGGGAGGGGGGGGACTGGGTGGGCTCCAAGGAGAGGAGAGGGGGTGCGACAAGGAGCGCAAGTCTCAGCCCCAGGCGCAGGCCTGCTCCCCGCCTCCTGCTAGAGCAGCTAGCTGAGTGAGAAGTTGGGGGCCCCAGATCCAAAGGTTCCACCTGAGGCAACCTCAACATGGGCCTCCCCTGGACTCTCCTCTGTCAGTCCCGGAGGCAGCACCCAGCCCTGTGCCCCCAGGGAACTCCCAGAGAGAGGGCACCTGCCTAGGTCAGAGCAGCAGGGCTTGGTGCTTGTTGGCACAGTCCTGGGCCTGGCAGTCCGGGATGAGGTGGCCAATGGGTCAGGGACATCTCATCGAGGCGAGGCCTGGACCCTCGCTGTCGGGGAAAGAGGGAGTTCCGAGGGCAGCACAGCGGCCGCAAGGGTGTCTGCCCTGGACAGACTCTACTGTGTTCACTGTCCAAAGGCCCAGAACAGGGGGTGGGGGGCTCTTTATACAGAAAGGGAAACTGAGTCCCAGAGAGGGGACAAGCATTGGCAATAAGGAAACAACCTTGTGCAATAAGGGGACAACCTCGTGCAATAAGGGGGCAGCAGAGCTGAAACAAAAAGCTAGGTTTACACACTCCTCAGCCAGTGCTCTGCCCATAACATTGTGTGTGTGTGTGTGTGTGTGTGTGTGTGTATGTGTGTGTGTGTGAGAGAGAGAGAGAGAAGAGAGAGAGAGAGAGAGACCTGGCTTACCCCGCTAGCCTCTGAAAAGTGGGTGTCAAACCTCCTAAAGTGGGATCTGGGGGACACAGGGACACCCGCTATAAAAATATGGTTCTGTGGTCAAGTGGCTTTGAGGAATGCCACATTGCTGACTTACAATGAACAGGAGCACGTTAAAGGACCTGAAAAAACCCGCAGTAAAGAAACGTACTGACGCACAGGAATGCACAGTGAGCGTGCTCATGTATGCATGCACCTGTGTATGCCCATGTGCTTGTGTGCAGTAACAGTATTTCTTAGCACTCATCCTGGGGCCTTCTGATCAGACCTAAAGAGCATGTGTTTACACTGGCTAAGCTATGAGGTCAGCTCGGACCTGGGCACTGGGCGTTAAGAGTCAGGCATCTGACCGGGAGCGGAGTGCTCCAGGGCCCAGAGAGCCCACCCCCCTCCATGCCTCCCACCTCTCCTGCAGACCCATGGACTTGACGGTCAGTGAGGCGGGGTCGGCCTCAGGCTTGATGTCCATCGTGCAGTCAAACACGGGCGTCTCGGGGACAGGGTCCAGGTCCAGGAAGTCATCTTCGACCTTATCTTCCATCCACTCTGAGTAGGTGAAGGAGGGCTGGCGGCTTACCGACTGGCGCCTGTCCTCGGGGGGCGGTGGTGTGGGCGGCTCGGGGGGAGCCCTCAGGAGGTGCCACACCTGGTTGGAGGGATAGAGCATCATGGACTTGGGACCATGCTGCTGCCCCCTCGCTGGTGGAAGTAAGCCCCTCGCCCCTCAGTATGTCTAGAGCGGCCCTGCTTTCCTGGGAGCTATCTGCATGGCACTGCCCCTCACAGGGATGGCAGGCTCCACCCCCCCACCTTGACCCCCTGACCCTTTTCTCCCTTGACCTCTTGATTTCTTGTGGATTGAGGGCTTCTGGGTGGGCTGTGGGGGTTCCTACTTGTCTTCTCCCTGCCTTGGCCCCGTTTCCCTGCCTTGGCCCCGTTCCCCTCCCTAGAACACTGTAGATCAATTCTGAAGGTGCTCTCAGCCTGTACAGGCCACACGGATGGAGAGGGACAAACAGCCCATCCCTTAGACCTACCCAGAATGTCTAATGGGGGCTGGTGGGGATCAGACCTCGGGGTCAGGAGGCACCTTACCAGGCTGGTAACGAGGAGCACAGACAGAGAGACCAGCAGCAGACTGGGGACTTCCCACGTCCCAACGCCCAGCCAGGCCTGGGGAACAGACAGACAGGTCAAGGTGATTGGTGGGGAAGAGGCAGAGTCCTCACCTGGGACAACAGGGACAGAACCAAGGCTCTGAAAACCTCAGGTCGGATCGGGGTGGGAACAGGGAGAAGAACTCCAGGGGGTAGGGCTGCCTTCGGAACTCAGAGACGGTTCACATATAGGAAGGCCCCCACCCGCTCTCCCTGCCCTGGAGGTCCCAGATACTTACCCTGGGTCCCAGCTGTTCCAGGAGGGTGGCATTCTGCAACCAGGTGGGGCCATAGCTGCTGAGCCAGAACATCCCGCAGGCAAGCTGGACAAGTGGGCGGAGTTAGAGCCTGAGCTCTGTGCGCCCCTTCCCACTCCACCTGGCCCAGAGGTCCAGACTGCACAGCTGAGGGCAGGGCCCAGGCTCTGTGTGCCAAAGGCCTGAGGACTCTCTCTGGAGAAGAGCTGACTAAAGGAGTCAGGGGATAGCCCTTCCCAGGCGTCCACCCTCCCCCCGAGACAGGAAGTCCTCAGAGAGACCTTGCAGAGCCAGAGGCTTGGGAGGAGGCTGTTCTCGCTCCTGGGGTGAGGGAGGGCAGGGTATGAGGGGGTTGGCTATGGAGGCGGTAGCTCAGAACTCCAGCCCAAGCGCTGGGAGTCACCGAGGGGCACCAAGAAGGGCCCTCACCTCTCTGCATCCCCAGGCGGCCAGCTGGGGAGGAGGTGGAGGGCTGTCCCTCAAGCCGCACTCTCTCCAACCCTTCCGGGGGCCTGTGATGTCCTTACCAGGAACTGGGAGGCAGCCAACAGACACAGGCTGCTCTTGACCGTGAGGGAGTGGCTCCAGGTGCCCGGAGGTGGCGGCTTCTGAGCTGGCTCAGAGGGTGATGAAGGAGGGGGTGGCGGTGGCATTTCTCTCCGCGGGTCCGTGAGCTCTTCGGCTTGGTCCGGGGCCTCCATCACTACCGGCTCGGGGAGACCTGCGGAAGGCGGACAGCCGGCCGCTGACTCGGGGCCGTGGGCCCACGGCGGCCGCTCCTCCTGGGGCTGCCGTGCCTTCCTCTCGATCCGGGATCCGTCCGCGTGGCTCCACTTCCAGCAGTCACCCTCGATTAGCAAAGCAGTATTCACCTACCTTCGTCAGAAACAGCTAAGTGTGGGTGGACAAATTATTTCTCTTTTATTTCTCCAGTAACAGAGTTAAAATGGCAGGAGGTTTTTTTTCAGGGAGTTAACATCCTTGTGTTTATGCAGCTTCATTCTTTTCCATTTCTTAAGGAAACAAAAAACAACCACCTCAAACTCAATTAGAGGGAGAGAGAGGGAGAGAAAAGACAGCACGACCAGGTTGTGCACGTGAATAACCCACCCACGCCTGCCTTCCGGATTTTTCACTCCTGTGCCCTGGGCTCTGACTGGGCTTGGGGCTGGAGTCTGGACACGTGACAAGATCCGAGCCACAGCCCTCCCCCAACCTTGAGACCCCATCTCTCCCAACCCTCCAACTGAGGAGGGGTGTGGGCGGGCAGGGTGGTGTGGAGGAAAATCTGGGTGTAGTAAAACTGATTATCAAATGTCTGGAATTCAGTTCTTTTAAAAAAATATATATATTTTATTAATTTTTTACAGAGAGGAAGGGAGAGGGATAGAGACCTAGAAACATCAATGAGAGAGAAACATTGATCAGCTGCCACCTACACACCTCCTACCGGGGATGTGCCTGAAACCAATGTACATGCCCTTGACTGGAATCGAACCCGGGACCCTTCAGTCCGCAGGCCGACGCTCTATTCACTGAGCCAAAATGGTTTCGGCTAGAATTCAGTTCTGGGTCTGTCCCTAGTTGTGTGACCTTGGGAGGGTCACCCTCTCTCTGGGCCTCAGTTTCCACACCTGGAAAATGAGAGTTGGGCTCAGCCCTTGGATTTCTTTTTTTCTTTTTTTTTCTTTTTTGTTTTTTTTAAAATATATTTTATTGATTTTTTACAGAGAGGAAGGGAAAGGGATAGAGAGCTAGAAACGTCGATGAGAGAGAAACATCGACCAGCTGCCTCCTGCACACCTCCTACCGGGGATGTGCCCGCAACCAATGTACATGCCCTGGGCTGGAATCGAACCTGGGACCTTTCAGTCCGCAGATTGACGCTCTACCACTGAGCCAAACCGGCTTCGGCAGCCCTTGGATTTCTAACTGAGCTTTATGGAGCCCTAGTATTACCGAGTCCCTCAGCCTGTGGAAGCTCTGCTTGTCCCCGTTCACACACTGGGTTTCCTTTAAGATCATTTCAAAGCAGGGTTCCACCACTGAGATAGTCTGAACACTTCTGGTTTAGATCTGGGGCCCTGACTGCAGTGGAGGGATTCCAGCAGCAGCAGCAGCCACTTGCCGAGTCCCGGATGTGGACGATCCCCTCCAAACCCACATGTCCCGGGCTACGGCCAAGAAGAGAGGGACCAGCAACAGGACTTTGTAACGCTTGACAGTGAGGTTAGAACTGTCCCCCCACCGCTGTGTATACGGGACAGCAGACTCCTTTTCTGGTTGGGCGACAATGGAACATTCACAGCAAGAACACGTGAGGCGGGCGTAGTTGTCTGTCCCATGGTCTGGACCAACAGTGCCCGCAGAGCACAGGTCCTGGGAACAGCTGCATTTCCATCACAGGCTCCTCCTTTCCAATGCTGATCCTGGATGGCTCCCTACCTGCTGTGTTCCAGCCACACTCCATGCGTTTCCTCAGGGGAGCCCACCCTCTGCACTCTGCACAGGCTATTCCCTCTGCCTGGAACATGCCTCCGACACCCTGCATCCTCTACCCCCTGACATCCCCCCACTTTGCCAAGTTACCTCCTATTCCTCTTGTAGAACTCAGTCAGTGTCCCCAGATGTAGGTCCTGCCCCATCATGTGCGCCGGGCACCCTAAGCCTCTCCTTCGTCCCGCCAGCAGCAATACCCCTGGAATGTGAGGCTTTACCTTTGCTAATTTATAATACTTGCTTCACAGTACTCGTATGAAGTGGGTACTACTATTATCCTCGTTTTACAGAAGACCAAGATGAGGCTAGCTAATAAATGGCTGAGGTGGGATTGAACTGAGGCAGCTGGACAGGCTCTGGGCTACATTACACTCACTACAGTTGGTAAAATTATTTGTTGAGCCAGCCAGTGTGGCTCAGTGGCTGTGCATCGACCCATGAACCAGGAAGTCCTGGTATGATTCCCAGTCAGAGCACATGACTAGGTTGCATGCTCGATCAGCAGTGGGGGTGATGAGGGTCGCCCCCACCACCCCCACTGCTGGGTGATTCTCTCTCATCATTGATGTTTTTATCCCCCTCTTCTTCTCCCTTCCTTCCTCTCTCTGAAATCAATTAAAAATATATCTAAGAACACTTATTTGTTGAATATCATCTCCCCCATTGTAAGTTCCATAAGGGCAGGAGTGGTATCAATTTTGTTCATCACGATTGTCCACGGCATTTGACGCAAGTTCCGGCATGTAATCCTGCCATAAATACTTAGTGAATGATGATGCGTAAGTGATCATCTTTGGCTCAGTTTTCTTAATGATAAATGGGGACCATCATATGTACTCTGAAAAGGTGTTATGAAGACTATAGATGAAACATGCAGCCTTGTATTTTATCTGGAAGCATTTAGAAGGTGGGCTTGATACACATCAGATGATAGTAATGATTACCCAGGTCTCCCAGTTTCCTGGGTAAAACAGACCTGTGGATTCATGTTTACAATACAGTGCCTTCAGTGACCAATCTGAGTGCTGCTGGAGTCCACGGGGGCTGAAGAGGGCCTCCACCTTTTTTTTAAAAAAAAAATAAATAAATATTTTATTGACTTTTTACAGAGAGGAAGAGAGAGGGATAGATAGCTAGAAACATCCATGAGAGAGAATCATCGACCAGCTGCCTCCTGCACACCCCCTCCTGGGGATGTGCCCGCAACCAAGGTACATGCCCTTGACTGGAACTGAACCTGGGACCTTTCAGTCCGAAGACCGACGCTCTATCCACTGAGCCAAACTGGTTTCGGCGAGGGCCTCCACCTTTGCCCACGAAGACCACAGTTAAGAATTACAGGAGTGCACAGGTCAGAACCTGGCCGGCAAAGGGGAAAGAAAAACACAACTACTGTGAAGAGATGGATCATGCCGGAAGCTGAGTTTCCACTATAGATATGCAGAGGTTTTATTAGTACTCAAGTGGCAAGGTCTCCACCCACACCCTCTGAAAAAGCAGCGGAGGGATGCTGCCAAATATGGAAGGCTGGAGGGGCACACAAGCTGGGACTCTGGATGATCCCTCCTCCTCCCTGGGCCTCAAGTGCCTTATCTGAGAACAAGGGGCTTGAACTCGAACTCCATGCTTCTCCGATGTTCCTGCCACCCTGGGAGGACAGGGGGCTGGGTCCTGGGAGAACATAAGCTCACAGAATCTTGAACATGGCTGCTCTGTTTTAAAATTCAAGGGTGCTCTTTGTTTTACACTCTGGAATATATACGAACTTGTTTTAATATTAAAATAACGTGTGTGTTTTTTCCCCCTCCCAAAGCTTGGAATCAAATGTATGCTTCAGGAGAATATGCTACATTCATCCTGTGGCTTTGCCCTCAGGGGTACATGCACCCCAGTCTGAGAAGCATGGAACTCACCAGCAATAAAACATTATGTCGATGTTATAAATGATTCTGTAGATGAATATTTAATAACATGGAAAGAAATTTCAATGCTATGGAGAAAGGCAAGGTTGCAAAACAGTATGATCCCCGTGGCCTAAAAACTAAGAAGGTGTAAATGTGCATATACAAAGGTGGAGTATACCAGATGTAAGGCAAGAGGCTGATGTGAGATGCCTGCAGAGCCTGCTGCACCGTCAATGCCTGGCCCACAGTAAGCACCCCATAACGCACACGATTAGTGGGAAGAACAGAAGCCAGGTGTTCATGACAGTACTTTGGAAGAGGGTGAAATTATAGGTGACTTTTTCATTGTTTATGTATTCTAGATTTTCTGTAAGAAATAAATGTGTATGAGTATATACATATGTATGTGTATATATGCACATATATTTATTTTTAAATATATTTTATTGTTTTTTTACAGAGAGGAAGGGAGAGAGCTAGAGAGCTAGAAACGTCGATGAGAGAGAAACACCGACCAGCTGCCTCCTGCACACCCCCACCGGGGATGTGCCCGCAACCAACGTACATGCCCTTGACCTTTCAGTCCGCAGACCGATGCTCTACCGCTGAGCCAAACCGGTTTTTGGCCATATATTTATTTTTAGAGAGAAAAAAATATTTTAAAAAAGACATCACAGTTTGAGATTAGATATCATGAGGCTTAGTTACTAATATGTCCTGTTTCAGGGCCCTGACTCCCACTGGTCACATCTAAATGGATAAAAACACAGCTCTAATAGGTTTGCCTCTGGATACAGCATCGGCTTAGAGACTGAAGGATCCCAGGTTCGATTCCAGTCAAAGACACATTCCCAGATTGCGGGCTCAATCCCCACAGTATGGGGAGTGCAGGAGGCAGCTGATCAATGATTCTCCTTCACCATTGATGTTTCTATTTCTCTATCCCTTTCACTTCCTCTCTGAAATCAATAAAACTATATTTAAAAAATAAATAAACAAATGGATAGAAACACAGACCAAAGAGATGGTTACCAGAAGAAGAGGGGGTGGGGGATTGGGGAGATGGGTGAAAAGAGGAAGGGGAATATAATCAATAATCCTATATAATAAAAGCCTAATATGCTAAGTGTCTGGTTGTGTGTTCAACCAATCAAAGTGTAATATGCTAATGATATGCTAAGGCTGCTCAACAGCTTGCTATGACATGCACTGACCTCCAGGGTGCAGACGCTCCGACCAGTAGGTTAGCTTGTTGCTGAGGTCTGGCTGATTAGGACTGAGACAGGCCCTGGAGCCCTCCCACGGTCCCTCTCCAGCT